CGACCCAGAAACAAATACGAGAGTAGAAGGCGACGTTCAGCAAGCCCGAATAAAGCCACCTACTTTTGATGGTAAGATTCCTTGGACCACGTACGTTCGACAGTTTGAAGCAGCGGCTGCGGCAAATAAATGGACTCTTCAAGACAAAACTACAGCCCTGATTTTTGCTCTGAGAGGAGATGCTCTGGATGTGTTGCGGACCATCCCCGAGGACCAACAGAACTTCCAACAAATAGTAGCGCGACTCGAAATGCGATATGGCGATAAACACCTTCAGCAAGTTTACTATGCCCAAGTCAAGAACCGAATGCAGAAACCTGGAGAAAGTTTGCAGGAACTTGAAGCGGACATCGCTAGACTGATTCGATTGGCATACCCTACGGCACCGGAGAGCTTTCTTGATCAACTGGCTGTACAAACATTTATCGATGGCGTTCGTGATGGAGATGCCCAGCAGGCTTTGAGACTGGCTAGGCACGACAAAATTGAGAAAGCTTTGGCCCATGCGTTAGAATTCGAAGCCGCCAAGAAAGTTAGTCATGGAAGTGCGCGAGTACGTATGGTGGAACCTCGCAGTGAGAGCCGGGTAAGAACCATCGAAGAGGAAGGTGGCTCTGAAAGTTTTGAAGAAAAGGTCAGTAAAGTAGTGGAAGAAAAGGTCAGTAAAGTAGTGGAAGAAAAGATCAATAAAGCAATACAGTCACTGGCAAAGAAACGTGAACCACGGCGAGATTGGACACGTTCGCCGCAACTGCCAAAAACCATTGCAGCAGCCGGAAAACTAAGAAAGGTCGACAGGAAAGGGCTATCGTCAACCTGCAGAAACAAAGCCCCGATCTTCACTGTAAACATTACGTCGTCTGGAAAAGTTCACAATAATGCAGACGCTTTGTCAAGAAGACCGTGCAAAGACAACTGCAAACATTGTTCTAAAATAGAAGACAAGATTGGCCATCTGCGACGAACAACTGTAGAGAGTGAGGAATGGAAGCCAAGCGAAATCAAAACGGCCCAAGAAAACGACCCAAGTATAAAAACTGTTCTGAATTGGATGCGCCACGGACAAAGACCAGGCTGGCAAGACATTAGTGCCACAAGTCCTGAAGTAAAGAATTATTGGGGCCAATGGAATAGCCTGACTCTGAAAGACAACCTGTTGTATAGGACCCTTGAAAGTGAAGATGGCACCGAATCGACGCTGCAATTAGTAGTACCTAGAAGCAAAATGTCGGAAGTATTGCGAAAATTGCATGACGGCGCTTCCGGAGGACACTTTGGTATTACGAAAACGTTGCAAAGGGTACGTGAGCGATTCTATTGGGTCAACAGTAAAGAAGATGTCCGGCGATGGTGTCAAAAATGTGAGTTATGTGCTACTGGAAACGGACCAGTTTCCAAGAAGAAGGCACCCATGAGGCAGTGTAACGTTGGTAGTCCGATGGAACGAGTTGCTATCGATATCGCAGGACCGTTTCCCGAGACAGATGGCGGAAATAAATATATCCTAGTCGCTATGGATTAATTCACAAAGTGGACTGAAGCTTACGCCATTCCAAACCAAGAGGCAGCAACAGTTGCAGAAGTGTTGGTAAAGGAGTTCTTTACACGTTTTGGTGTTCCTATAGAAATCCATTCAGACCAAGGAAGGAACTTTGAATCGGCTTTGTTCCAAGATGTTTGTCGACTGGTAGGAGCCAATAAAACCAGAACAACACCTTTGCATCCTCAGTCAGATGGAATGGTGGAGAGAATGAATCGAACGATGGGTAAATATCTTTCAAAAGTCGTGGCAGAACATCAGAAAAATTGGGACCAGTACCTCCACCTGTTCCTTATGGCGTATCGATCAGCCGTCAACGAGACCACGGGTCAGACTCCTGCCTGCCTTATGTTGGGTCGTGAACTACGCCTTCCATGTGACCTCGAGTTTGGGCGTAAACCCCATGAAGAATATGTCGCAGGTGAAAATTATGTTGACCAACTAAAGGCGAATATGAACGAGATTCACGACTTGGCTAGAAGTCATATTCAGATTGCCAGCGATCGCATGAAAAATCAATACAACCTCCGCTCGGTCAATGAAACTTTTGAAGCTGGAGATCTGGTATGGCTGCACAATCCACAGAGACGAAGAGGTCTTTCTCCCAAGCTAGAAAAACAATGGGAAGGTCCGTATGAGGTGATCAAGAAGATAAATGACGTGATATATCGTATCAGAATGAACCACCGGAAACCGAAAGTTGTCCACATTAATCGACTCGCACGATATGCCGGATCCAACAACAACGAAGAAGTTAGAGGTATTCGAGAAGAGGAACGCAGCTTTGGGATCGAGCCAAATTTTAACGATTTTATGTCAAATTACGCCCAGCGGAAGAAAGCTCGATTTGGCGTTACTCAGGAAATTTGTCAAAATATTTTTGAGCTTCCGGTTAACGTTTCCATCGCCCATTGTGTCGCCGAAGACCTTCGCATGGGTAGAGGTATAGCTTCCGTATTCCGGAAAAGATTTGGAAGAATAGACGAGTTGATAAAGCGAAGACCACGAGTGGGTAAAGTACTGCGCTTGGAAGATAGTCAACGCTCTTTGTTCTCCTTGGTTTCGAAGAAAACGTCAGAAGGCAAACCCACCTATGAAAACCTCTGGTCTGCTTTAAAAACCTTAAAGAAACTCATGGCATACTATGACATAAATAGCTTGGCGATCCCGAAGATTGGATGTGGTTTAGATGGGTTGGACTGGAAGATAGTGCGAACCATGATCGAAGGGATTTTTAGAAACACTAGCGTTCGAATTACAGTTTGCTGCTTCAACCCACAGGGGACGACCCTCCGCAAAACTGTGGACCGTTACTTTTTCAAGAAAGGTGTTTGTCGAGCAGGCTCTGACTGCAGATTCCGACACGAGGCATTAAAAAGTAATACTAACGCAGTTTCTGAACGAGACGTCCAGAATTAAGAAGGGGACAGTGTAACGGAAACGCTCCAGACATGACGTCGCCTTTGGCGCTCTGGAATTTTCTACGCGCGCGATAGTGGGATTTGTGTAGGAATATTCGAGAATGTACGCGGATGTTGACTTACATTGCTTGCGTGTATAAATGGTTGCGGACCGAACATCGCGGCAGTTTTTACTACTGAACCAGATCGAGCGCGGAAATATAAATTGCGAAGTGTGTGTGATATAAATAATCGATATAAATTGTACGGTTTTTATAGTGTTTTAGTTTTGTTTAATAAATATTGATATAAATCGAACCCGAATTTATAAATAACGTTACAGTATCAAAAAGTTTGCAGTGTGACAAGGTGTCCAAATTTCAAGACAATTGAAAATGTTGATATTGATAAATTGAGTCACATCTGCTTTCATTCGTTATCTGATACTACTCCTTTATCGACTTAATTGCGCGTTTATCATTCTAGCTAGAAAATTCACGACAATATTTAAAACATTTCTGTCATTTCCAGACGTTTTTCTACGATGAAGTAACTTTGTTGCTCTATGTTCCTCTATCTATAGTCGAGTCAGCAAAATCTTGGTGGGGCAACTCTTGTACAAAGACGAAAATTATCGCTTTTTGGCGCATTTTCTAACGATGTTGGGTGCGCTTGCAGCCACTTTCTCTGTCCGTCCTTCTGTACTACTACTACAGTTTTCAAGATATTAAGTTCGTTCTTTTTGCAGTCGGTAGCGTATAGCTCTAGCACCTGAGCTAAGGAAAATCTTGACAATTAAACTGCGCAATGTCAACTTCATTATTTATTAATATATTTTGTTGAAATTTTAACCACAGATACTTCTGATGAAGGAAAATTTATTGCATATACTAAAAATCAGATGTGCGCATGCGCAGGTCTGCGCAAATGGCAACTTCAGTATTTATGGAGATATTTCTTTGGAATTTTAGTGTAAGCAAACGTATCACATACTGTAATCAGCAGATTAATGCGCAGGATGCGCAATATCAACTGTTATTTTTCAAGATATCTTTTTGAAATTTTAATCACAGATACTTCTGTTAAAGGCAAACATAACTGATATTGCAAAAATTAGATGTGCGCATGCGCAGTCAGTACCACCTTCTTTATTTATCAAGATATTTCTTTGAAATTTTACCCATAGATGCTTCTAGTAAAGAAAAACATATCATATGTAGTAAAAATTGAAAACTACAATTGTCATTGGGAAAAGTAAACATATCACACGTAGTAAAAATCAAATCCACGCATGCGCGAACTGCGCAACGCGCCAACTTTTTTGTTTATGGAGATTTTTCTTTCAACTTTTAACCATATATACCTCTAGTAAAGAAATTCACAGCGCACATAGCTATGGCCTTTTGGGAAGTACTGATCATTCATGGAAAATTACACGAGAACCTTTTTATTTGTTTTTTTTTGATTGGCCACTTTCTGTCAAAATAGAGCTGGAATGAATCCCAAAAATGGTTTGAATCTTTTTTTAAATTCTTTTGGACCGGATCAAAATATTGACTTTATAAATGGTTGATGTGTTTTTTTGGCGCATTTTCCAACTTGTTTTGCAAATTACATTTTCGTGTCTAACCTAGTATTTTCAAATGGCAACCTTTCCGAAAAAAGGATTTTTTGACTAATCTAATGATACAAATTTATTAATTTTATCTAAAAATGTAAAAATATACAGGGTGTTCCGTTTAAAAATTCAAAACCGGGACCATTTCAAGTGAGCGGAAAGAGAAACATATGTACCTGTACCAAATCTCATACACCTAATAATACTGTCTTGTCTCATAGATTTGTTGACACCCAGTATGCAGGGTACATAAAAAATAATACATTTGAACTGTGAAAGAGAAAATAAGTACGTTTGTACCACCACTCATTGTCATACATTAAGATCTAAGCGATATTTGACTTGGAGATGTTCCAATACGTGTGGAGTTCGAGTAAAATATATTGAAACTGAAAACAAAAGTACCCTTAAAGTTTGTCTTCAACGTATGATATTGTTTCAGGCACAAACCGCCCTCAACAACTGCGTGTTGGGCAATACGACAATCTTAGCCGAAAATCCTACAGACTGGGAGGCGCAATCTTTGCTGCAACAAGTCGCGTCGCAGGGCGGCTCCTCGGGCGGCTGGAGAAGTACAAATAAACAGCCCGCGACCGCCGGCGATACGTGGAGCACGGGCTGGCCGAATAACCCGTCGACGACGAGCCTATGGGGTTCCGGCACGTTGGACAATAGCGATCAGTCGAGGGCGACGCCATCTAGTTTAAACTCTTTCCTGCCGGGAGACCTACTGGGCAGTGGTGAGTCAATGTAATTGTCGACAAAGTTTATTTGAAAGAGTGGATTACAATGCACATATTTCGAATTTTAAACTATTAAACTATAGGTTTAAGTGTTTTAAATATTATCTTCGTAACAGATATTTATTGATTGTATTATTTAATGATCTTTTATTGTTACAACTTTGTGTATTTAATTTTATGGTGATTTAGAATTGTTTTAGAATCGTACATTTTTTTGTTTAATTTTTGATTTTCGCAGTGACGTAAAATCGCATGCCATTATAAGTGATTTCTTTTATTATATTATTATATATATATTGTAGTTGTGTAGTGGTAATTTTTAATTTTCCTTTCTTTATTTGCGTTTTTACGTTGCTACCGACTATCAATTCTACTAAGTATTAGTAAGCACTTAACGCAACTGTGTTATGCAAACATTAACGTGACTTAAGCTTCAATATTCCAAATTCGAAGGATACAGTTTACTGATAATAAGCTCAACTGCGAATTGTGTGACATTTCCCTAACGTAACCCGAACTAGTCCCATTAATACAAGATTTTGTGACCAAAAGTAATATCCTCTATTTATTTGAAACATTGCGTACATGTTGAATTGTTTTTCTGATCATAGATATTCCTATCTTTGTATATAAATGTTGATAATTAAGGTACCTAAGTTGTTTGTATGTGTTTGTTTTCCCAGTGTGGCCGGTGCGTTGCGTTTATATACACACTTTTTTTTTCTCTAAAGTCGTGGTAGAACCGTAAAGTACAAAATGCTCCAATCAAAAGTTGTCATTTTATAATTGTGATATTTCCGTTGACAAATTTTATTCAATTTTCGCTTAAATTTGCACTGTAAAGTAATGAGACTGATGTATTAACTGAATAATAGTGCAATGTTACAACCAAATACTTTGAAACTATCAATTTCTCCCCTGTTTGCTTTTGGTGCGTCATGGTCACTGTGTAATTGTTTAAAATTGGTTAACCGCCATTAATTTAGATACTCGTTAGTGCCACGAATTTTGAATGTGATGTTGTGTACGTAAACGTAGCGGTGCACCATACTTTGTTAACCCCACAAACCTGTGATCTCCACTTTCTAATATCAAAAAAAATACACATACAAAATGATCATATTTTGTTATATAATTCATTGCGAAATCGCCTATTAACGAGGCGCAGCTAAGGATAACATAACACCACACAATCAAATTAGACTGCACACAAGTATTCTTAAATAAAATTAGTAATAAACACTTTAAATAATAGCCGATAATATATCGTTTCTAGTTTAAGCTAAAAAATTATATATATAAATTTTATTATAATGTCTGTATTCTATGTACTTTGTATATTAGCCATAGATTCTTGAATATGTTTATAAAATAATAGTCCATATGTAACTGTGATTAGTTCGTACGTGAAATTGTACTACCTTCGAGCAAATTATAAAATTACACTATTATTTCTAGCAAAAAAGAAAGAAGCAATCGATATTTATATATACGAATATATTTTTGTTTCGCGATAGTAGTAGTAATTTCACTATGAATTCCTACAATCACATTGTGTTATTGTGGTGTTCATCAAAAAATCGATTCATCTATAGCTAAAAAGGTGTGAATGTTTGCGAAATGTGGGCGGCGGCTGATCGACTTTGTTACGCACGCGTGCGCAGTTAATCGACGGCGGACGGACTTTGACAATGTAGAATCAATGAACTAAACGTACTTCCATCTAGTCCATATGTAATGAAGTTGGGTGTCGCGGTCCGTCGCGCCGGTGTTACCAATCTGTTTCTAGTGAAAAGACTGATTAAAAGATCTTAAATCCGCGGCGCGCGCGCACGTCGAGCGTCGATATTTTTTTATGTACAAATATAAGCGTGCGTAACAATTTGCGAAAACCGGCCTCTCAGACACTGACTCTTCTGTCGAAATTTCATTGAAATCGAAATGATATATTTCTATGAAGTTGACGGTAGTTTTAAGGTTTACCTACAGGTTATGAAAATTAACATATGTATTTAATGTACACAACTGTGCTGTGACTATTAAGTGGCTTTTTAATTTTTAAAAATATTTAAAAAAACGCAAAAAAAAAAATCGTTTTAAAGAGCTCTTGTTTTAAAGCTTTGTTAGCTTTTTCTAAACGTTGTATTTTGCAAGTTTAATCACTCTTACCCGTTTAACTTTTTTGTTTTATAATCGGCGGCGGTTGTTGTGGTCCATGTAACCTACGGTATATTATATAAATCATATCTTACATAAGTCGTTAATTGCTCTATCGGTTCGTTTATCGTGGAAAATTGTGGAAAAATGACGGTAATTGTAATTAACATGCAAAATACAGTGAATGTATGGTGCAAAATAAGGCTATATATCGGGAGGTATGAATTCACTGCTTTAAAATTACAAGAAAGAAACGCTTTACCTTGGCCTCTCGGATAGCCTACTTGTGAGTTCCATAGAGTTTCTAAAAATCTAGTATCTTATTGCCAATTTGTAGTATGTGTACGTATATTAGACTAGTATTTACGATATTATTTAGTATTTAAGGTTTTGGTAGTTGGGAATTCTTGTTGTGTATTGCTTATATTTGACAGCCAATTCTGAATGTTTTTTCATGCCTTACACTGAACATCTCTCGGTTTGCCGCTTGCGGTTTATTCGTTGGCCTGGTATTACGATTTTTGTGATGCATAAACGGAAAGGTTTAACGGGAACTAGATACACGTGCTTTAAAAAAAAAACAATAGAATAGTTTCGTGGCTTCCTAACCGCGAGTGTGTTAGGGAATGACGATGTTTTCGTTTGCGTTCACGACGGGGCACGGATTCGAATAAAACGTCTGGGACAAGTAAGACGACGACAAAAAAAAAACACACATACTAACAGTAGTATATAGTACTTGTACCAAAAGCTATAGAGAATTGTTTTATTTTTATTTAGATCTTCTGATAGGCTATTTTTAATAATTGTAGCTTAAGGTTAAATACAAAAAACAATATGGAGAAAGAAGGTGGTTGCAGGTTTGAAATTACACTTATCGGGACATTTCGCTGAACCCTAACCTAGTTTTACCACGACACTGTGCGACCACCGAATTTTTTAATTGTGATTACCTACATATTTAATAAGTGGGTAGAGAGTATGATTTTTGCCTCTCTCTCTCTCGTAGCGAGATGTGGAATACTTGACTAGTAAATAATCTATGTCTGACATCGTGTACCTTCAAAAAATGTAGTTTAATATACTGTTTATTTATGAAATCGGAAAAATCGAAAAAAAAAGATAGGTTAAGTTAAGCTCAGCTTATCCCGATATCTATATAATGATAGGGTAGATTGTGCACAATAACATTCACTACTGTGGCCTCTGGCTTTATAATCACTTACTCGTGTCAATTTAATTTGATGTCCGATTCACAGGCACATTTATCATTTAGAAACTACCGTTTATGCTCGACTAATTATCTTTGCGTGACGGATTGAATACGTAAAATTAACCAAACGCCAATTTGATGCGAAAAGATGTAGGCAACGTAGTATTTGATTTAGATTTTACAGTATTTGTGATCCAAGTGCCACTTGTGTTTCAAGTATATATAATCATCGCCACTAAAACTATATATCTTATAATTAATAGAAATATATAATATATGAACCTTAACATAAATATATGTATTTAGATGGCATATCTGCCTTAGTGTAGGAAATAAAACTTGGTGTTCTGTAGGTTTTAAGGTGTTATTTACTTGAGCTTACGGATCTTTATCAGAGCAATTTTGAGTATTTTAATATGTTCAGTTGTAAGTAAATATCCTATAATTTTATTTACAGTATCGGCAAATCAAGACTGACAAAAATAGTCTGGTTCCTAAAAACAGCTCAAGGACATACTCAAATTTTTATTCTTCAGATACACGTACTAATTTTATCTAGTCTACTACCGGTAACTTAATTTACATCACGAGAACATTTTTACAACTAAATGTATTAAAAATCTTGAGCCGTAAAAAGAGTCCATTGTATATTATTAATATAGAGATGGCAATAGTAGGAGTCCACAATGTTGTATCGATTGGCTGTTTGTTGTATAAATTAAGACTTTTCGTATGCCAAAGTTTAATGTGTGTTGGAATGCTCCTCATTTTTTGAACCATATCAATAAGTAAGCCGACGTGATGCAAAATTATGCTTCTCGTCGTAAATTCTGTGTTACGTTTCGGAAATAAAAAAATTAGGGCCTTTTTAAAGACAATTATTAACCTAGTGTGACATTGCATCTACTTTTATATATTCGAATCACTAAAGAGATTTTTTCGACATCTGTCATACTTTTTTAAAACCCTCTATCGAAGTCGACACTTCGAAATGGTTAAAGTCTGCCAAATAACCAATCTAAATTCGTAGTTTTGTAGATTCAAACGAACGCTATTTAATATACATAATCTTGCGCAAACGGGGAAGCTATAGTTTTTTTCTTCTTTCGATGATTCATATCTTCTCGAGTGATGTACTTAATTAAATCTTAAATTCTCCTCGACACTGTCAAAATTTTAACGTTTTTTGTTAAAGCAGTGATGTGACAATAACGTTTTAAAACGAGTAGGGTTTGGTATAGTACAAGAAAATTTCAAAAATACCGGCGGTGGAAAATCAATTCTTAAAATTTGGACTAGAACAGCTACATCACGAAAGTCGGTTTTTCACTTGTGGTCCGATATCGATGGAATTTTCCTGTACTACAGATAGTCTAGTCAAGTATTAAAATGGAATTTAATTAACTTGACCTTCCCCCAAATATCAATTACAGTCTCTTTAAATTCGGCCATATTGATCGAGGTATAAATTTGGTGTCGGTTGCTATGCAGGTGGTTTTGCTCGTTCGCTTTTTTTGAAATCATTCAAAGGTACATAAATAACTAATTTTTGCTGTCGCCGCTTGTGTGTTTTGAATGGGAAATGCAATAACAATGGAAAATGTTTCCAAATTTAAATTTTTTAGAAATGGAAAAATCCGTTTTGTTTGTGATATAAGGTCATGGATTACTGAGATTTTTGGAAGGCAATATTTATGTTTTAGGATCCCGGCTTGCTTGATCTGAAATAAATTTTAAGCACATCTTTACTTTTTAAAATCTAAGATGGCCGTGACAAATGAGAAAAAAATGTTATGTTGAAGTAAAAGTGCCATTTCGGTCAATAATACGGCAAACTGTTATTATGAAAAGTTGTTTAGAATATGAAATTATGTCCTTTAAACAGTATTTGTTTTGTAGTCCACAACTCAAACACTGATTTAATCAAAGTGATCCAATATTTGTGAAATTTTTTATATTCTAAACAACATTTCATAATAACACTTTGGTGTATTATGAACCTCAACATAAAATTTTTTTTCTAATTTGTCACGGCCATCTTGGATTTTAAAAGGTAAAAATGTGCTTAAAATTTTTTTCAGATTAAGCAGGCCATGATCTCAAAAAATCAAATGAGATTCAAAATTTTTTATCAATTGCACGTATAGTATTAGATACAGTTGTATGTTTTTTGAAAAATTCATTCTGATATAACGATTGCAAGCAATGTTAATAGTGAAACCACTTCTGGGCACCATACCTGTACACATCCTGTATAGCTAAACCGAACGAAATTTTTATCTCGTGACCCGATGGCATTTGCATCTACATTTACTTACAACGAGTTGTTTTTTTCCGTTTTCGATCATCAAATAGAGACCATAATAATAATTCACGCGCGCGCGCTTTTTAAGCTTATAGTTGGTAGGTGCGTCATTCACCATTTTACGATTACCAAACTATGTGCCTCTGACTGTAACGTCATAAAAACAACACTGAATACCGAACACTTCCTGATCGTGGCTTGCTGGTCTTCAGTTGCCCTAAGTGATTGTACAGACCTGAGCTTAATGTTTAAAAAAAAAACCGAGTGTATTATCGCGTATTTAATTGGAAAATGAATCTTGAAGAAAAATAATCCGTGGTGCTGTAAACGTTGGTTAGGGCCAGTCGATTAGTATTTTTGCAAGCTTTTCTCAAGATTAACGTTATCAATTAAATAAGAGCCTAGGAGTATTTAAAGTTAATTTTAGCGGTCCGATAACAAAAAAAAAATAAAAATAATTGTGTCTGATTCTAAGTCGTAATGGTTGGTGGGTAATTAGAGTTAGGTTTCGTATCCAGTGACTTAAGATAGCGGCAGCATTTAGTCAATATTTGTATTACGTGTAGCTTATAGTCGTTTTGTGTTGTCACGTGCAATACTTCTTTTTAGTATTATTTAAACTGTACGCTTTCTATCTCGATCATTTTTTTTGTGTAGTCAAAATTTCGTTGCGTACTCTTGCCATCTTGATTGGAAAAATCAAATGCAACTTGTCAATGCATACCAAAGACAATTGTAGTGTCATATTTTATTTTTATTCTTCAATTCCCGCCAAAATCTTCCAGCCGAGGTTGTGATAGTGTTTTTAGTATTTAATTTTTGTGTAGAATTTGGCAAGGACAGAAAGTGCTTATGTTAACAACAGCATCTGGCTTTCGTTTCTCTCCTAATCTTAAATTTGTAATACAGTGCCTTTTATTTTTTATCGTAGACCGGTCGTTAGCATGTGCAAATCAGCGGGTCTACTTAATATCGGTAGCATTTTCATCGTAGAAGTGTACATTAATTGCAGGGTGTAAATCGTATTAAACGAAACTATTTTCGCAACGTAAGCATTAACTGTCGTGATCTGTGTATTACTTTAGAAGAAGTTTTAGCACAAACAGAAGTGCCTCTAAATGTGCAATTTAATCACGGGCCTGACATTTTAGACAGGGTTTCTAAAACATTAAGACCGGGTGTATTTTTAAGAGACAGTAACGTCTTTTGCCCCCTTTCACCCCAGTTGTACAAATTTTAATTATTAATAACTTAGCCCTACATTTTGAAAAATGACACTTAAAATTTATAAAAATAAGGTGTTTTTTGATTCGATAGTATGTCGATATCTCCGCACTAATCTGCCATTTTGACGTCAATTTCGTGACGGGTAGGCAGGCGAGTGTAGAGATTTTCAGTCCTTATTTAGTTTGTTGATCTCAACAGAGATTAAGCTAGCTGGAACTGCCAACTGTAAAAAGATATATTGAATTTATGTATGTCTTATATAAATAAAAGAAGATTATATGTAGATTAAATGTAACATAACGCTACGTTTCACGCCACTAACTCTATAGGGGCAAGGCGCCCAATGGTTAAGATGCCTGGAAGTTAGAGTAGTTTGTTGTGGGGTTTATACTGAAGGTTAGGCCCACTCTCTCAGGTTTTAATATAGTAGATATTCACTGTTTAGGCTTAAGTTACAACAATCACTTATTCTCATTACGGCAATATTAAGGATACTCTACATTCCTTCCCATAGGTATTTTAAAGGCAGTGATACACCTTTCTTGATTATTCCGCACGTACTCGTTCGGTTGCGAAATGCCAAAAGTAGAGAAAATTTGCACACTTTTTGCCTTCTGTGTATAACAGGCGTTTGTTTTTAGAGTACAACATTTGGCAACATTACATCGTTGTGTTATCGCGAAAGAAAATGCCTTAAACTGACAAGTAGCGAAGCTCTCTCTTTCCTCTCCCTATTTAACGTAGTTTTACGCATTTAGGTTATCTCTAGAATATGCCATGAAATGGCGAGTAAGACTGTAGGGGATACCAGGTGATTGAATTTGCTTATCCCGGTGGTCGCACGGCCACCGTTTAGGGAGGCAACTTCAACGTTTCGTTTAGAAAATAAGAATTTTTGCACAGTGAGAAATTAAAAAAGAACATGTAGGTCCATATGTGAAAGGTGCTCTTAAAGTTAGCCGCTTAATTTTAATAATTGTTTCGGTTGTTTGCCAAAATGTCGAATGATTTCAGTAAAAAAAATAAAAGACAGTATTAATTTGACCTCATCATCCGAAAAAGTCTTGTGATTACTTATGGTCTCGGTCGCCATTAGTATTGATGAAATTTTTGTAATAGTATTATCACTTTTCATTGACGCGTTTAAAAGAAGAGTATCAAAGTTTACGTGCCAAAATTGCTAGAAAATTCTTGCTCATAGCGGCCTTGCGAAGGTTTTGTGGGCCGCATACGCTTATATGCTGTGTATATTTAATATTTAATGCAATATATGTGTATATTGGCTGATAATTACAAAGCTCTGTACAATTGTTATGATTTCATAGTATATAATATATAAAAACATACTTAAGATAAGTTTAGAGTATACATAAGGTAAACCTCTAGGTGTAATAAGCGTATTTATTCAAAAAATATCGGACCGTAAAATTTGCTTTAACATACTCGGGCGTTAATTACAAAGACTTGAAATTAGACACCTCCCGTTTTATTCCTTTGTTTTACTTTGTGAAAGTCTAGTTTTATAATTGCATTCGTTATTCCCTTGCATACGTTTAGAGTTAGTCGTTAGGTTTTGGGTTATTAGCTTTAAGTTTGTACTATAAACGTGTTCATTTTTAACACTTAGTGCATCTGTGCCTTTTTTGTTTTGTTATGGATCGTATACAATTGAACACCGAGATTATACAGTTACCATTATTCAAATTTGAAAATTGAAGCGGCATTTTTTTACCCACTTTTCGTTCGAACGGTGTTACGTAATTGTAACCGATGGCCTAAACAGTTCCCTCCTAACTCTAGTCCAGTTAATGCCTGAATATTCCAATTAGTAGCATTTTAATTTAATATTATAATATTGCGTTGTTAAAAAACTAAAAAAAATAATGTGAATATTTCTTACAATCATTAAATGTTAAGCAATCGACGACGTATTGAAATTATCAGAGAGGTTTTTAACCTTAACTTCTTCCAAATGTATGTTCCTTTATTTTTGAGACTCGCCTATAAAATGACTGTGTCTACCTTAACGATTACCTGCACTTTTTATGGTTGTGTTTGAATAAAGAAATTTATTTTCGTTAATTAAATATTTATACGTTACGAAGAAATGTAATCGAATACTAATGGCAATATTAAATTAATTTCGTTCCCTTATAATTATCAGGTTTTAAAATGTGATAACCTTGACAATTTTTAAGAATATTATCTTAAGCATCACTTCCCGAAGCAGGTTGATCACGCAAGTTTGATATTTTTGTACGACTAACTACTACACGGTCTTAATCAAGTTTCGTTTCGCGAACGGATTACACGTTTAAATGAAGCATTGACTTTGTTGCACCCGATCTGACTTGGTAGATGAGAGACAATTTGCGAATCTCGTAAAAGCCAATGCTTCGCTGTGTACGAGGGAGGGTATACTCAGGGGACCAGGCCAAATTGTCACGGTGATATCAAAGAACTTAGACAAAAATTATAATCAAATCTGATTATTCTACTACTGCATACCCCAAAAGTAATTACGTATTAAAAATACATTTCAATAAAGAAAACAATTTTAGAGAAAATTAAGGACTCAATTGTATGTTGTAGTGTAACAAAGAAGTGTATAAACGTTAAAAAGATACAAATAATTGCCTACTGCACCGTTTCAAATCATTCTAAATATCGAATGGTTTTTTTCAAGTCCAACCATGTCTACCAATAACTGTGCAGTAGGAACTTAATTTTAGGTTTAAGATATGTTTAAGTGCTTTCGAACAACTATTATAAGTTGTAAAGCTGTTCTGTACATGTAACCCAATTGACCAGTATGCATTCAGTAATAAAGGTTGTCTTAAATGTAAAAGTTTTTTTTGTTTTATTTATCTACTTACATTGTCACAAGAGTTCATTCCACATTGTACCATAATGAGGATTGTAAGATAGCAAAAGAATCAAAGTTTTATAGGACTTGCTATTTTGTTTTAAAAAAAGGGCACCGTAAACCGGGTACATAGAGTTAGAAAATATCCAATTTGTACCGTAATTTCCAACGAAATCGGGTGTGCTATTTCAGTCATTCTCTGTCCATCCATTGGAAGGATTTACTTGCTCCTACAGTTTTCAATATACAGGTTGGGCCCTTAGTGTGTGGGTAGAAGATTATGATTTTATTAACACACATATTTAAATGTCATAGTTGGGGAATGTGGAAGGACCCGTAAAGCTACAACCTAAAAATATTTTCAACAAAATTGCAATTGTTATACAGGGTGATTATGTCAAAGTTGCGTGTTTTTTGGAACCCCCTGTATATTATTACATATTTCGTTTTTTTGGTCAATTTTTCTGTCGTTCACCAGACGAAGCGCTTCATGAGGCGCTACTACCTAAAATGTCTGGTGAACGACTCGCTCAACTACAGCAGCGTACGATGAATATTTCGGCAACCGCTTTCTCTGTGTAGCGGTGTTTGAGGTTATATATGTGGCGTACACTGTGTTACTGCGTGACATGTGGTTTGACATACAGGAGCGCTACTTAATGGGCCAATTACATTCCTTATAGCTTAAAATAACTATTGAGAGGTTCCACCCCGTATATAGGGCTGGGCGATTACGGGTTTGAATAATCGATTATGAAAAATAATCGATTACACTGATTAATCGATTAATCAAATAATCGATTAATCAAATAATCGATTAATCACCTAATCGTTTAATCAAAAGTCGATTGTCACATACAAGGAGTGATAAATATCTGTTTGTATGCATTAATACGTTAATTATTTAATAATAAAAATAAAAAATAATTCCATTACTCTTTTCATCAAATCGTTCATTACTAGGCAAATCGATTAATCAATAATCAACAAAGTGTCCCTGGTTCGAATCCGGGTTCGGGCATGGATATTTGCAAATGCATAGTGGGTTGGTTGGTAGAACAGCCTTGGCTGAAACCCTGCCCATTTGAAAATGAAGGTCAAAAATAAAAATAAATAAAAATAAATGATTAGGCAGCTTACTCTCCGATGAGGTGTGCTTTAGTTTTGATGATACAATCTTAATTCATTTTAGCTGCTTAAAGTGACGTTTTAACATCCGCTATAAAATAAAATAATACTTGTGAGCTGTGAGTGCTCCTTTTTGCGTAAACTGATGATCCAGCTAATAATAATCAATTAAAATTTACTTAATAATTGATTAATCAAACAATCGATTAATCAAATAATCGATTAATCAAATAATCGATTAATTTAATAGAATAATCAAACCCGATTATCGATTATCGTTTGATTATAGGTAATCGATTAATCGATTTTTTTGCCCAACGCTACCCGTATATACAACTTACGACGATACATACATTTTTGAGAGTTGGCAACCATGCAATTTCTAGGTGGGAAAAAGCTGCCTGCGCCATCTAAGCACGGACGGGGGTTGGGTTACGTTGATCATCTTGTCTTGAATGGCAGTCGTGAACGCGTCGCTCCATAGATGTTTGTTGTAATTTTGTGTTATTTAATACAGGTAGTAATTTTTGCATTTCTTTATATCGTATTTGTGTTTTGTATGCCGCATTTTATATTTTTCGTGTGTTTGAATCTGTTTTTGAAATTTACTTGGTTTAACCGCAATGCAGAATCATGTGTAATACCGTTATGCTATTGTTTGTAATTGTTTACGTTTTTGGTGTAATGCTTGCTTAACTTATGTTTATTGATGTTAATTACTTGGTCTTGTCCCTGAAGTAACATTCATGTAAGTTTTGATAATTTTATTTTAATAAGTGGAAATTACCGATTCGTTTGATGTATGTACTGACTTGTTGTTTGTTACTAACCATTTTCTCCGTGAATGAAGAAGTCACGGGGGTGGTAAAAACTGTAACCATTCGAAGTACGACACCTAATTCCGTGATTGTCTTCGATATCCAATTGTAGGCTCGAAACCAGGGGCGGGCTACCCATCTTGCAGGAGCGGGATTACGCTAATCAAAGCTCTTCAGTTTAGAATCTATGTTCGATAAATGAGTCGCGATTCAATAATTTCCACGTATTTTGTTTTTAGTTAAATTTGCCTACAAGGTCATGTAATTTGCCATCTTGCTTTTAACAAAAGGACTTTATTGCACCAAAGATGAGTCACATCCTGTGTATTTCACCCTTTCTTAGAATCTTGGTACCTGCTTACCTGACCCATAATTCCCAAAACTTGTTTTTAACCTGTTATACCTCTTGAAGTACCTGCTACTTTTTGTGTTGTTATAATTTTATGTTACGCATTCACATCATTACAAAACAATTAACAACAAAAAAGTGGTTATTTGAGAGTCAATGTATGTGTTCATTAATTAAAATTTGATTACTTGTATTGGTCTATTTTTTTTTACTTGTATTGGTCTATTTTTTTTTATTTGATTTTTTTTTGATACTTGTACGCTACAGAAGTGAATTTTTTTTTTAATTTTATAACAGAGGCGCTTTCTTTCGGCTACTTCGCAATCGTGATTTCAAAATCGTGATTCGTAGGATCACGTTTTACGAAAGAACGCGCGAATTTAAATTAAAGTATGGTTAAGTTTACGTATAGTACACATTTGCATTCGAATTACGTATGTTTTGTTTGGATTATGAAAATAATTGAAATACAAGTGGAAGTACTTGCGCGATTATGCTCCTCTTCAGTTACAAATATTGACTAACCTAACATTTGAGCAAAAATATCCTTGCATTTATAGGTTAGGAATTCGAGTTCATAAAACTTTTATGTTCAGTTTGTTCACGATTTTAGCAATCATGATCATAAGATCACACTTCGAAAGAACGTGATTTCACAATCCAAACGCGTTTGGATCACCGAAAGAAAGCGCCTCAGGATTCTCATTCGCCATCATAAATATGTATGTGTTGTGGGTAAAGTGTAAGAGCAGATATTTTAATCTGAACTTCGCCCATTCACTGCGGTTCATAAATTCGATTCTTCTTTTCTTTGTACATGTTTATATATTATTTTAGTTGTGTTTTTTTTGAACGGAATATGAATAAAGGCCATTATTATTAATATTATTTTACTACACAGTTTGATATTAATTTAACGGCTGGTTTTTTTATTGGCCTATTTCTATTTTGATTCGGTGACCTACCATTTTCAAAGTTTATTTTTGCAATGTAATTTATTTTGGACTTAAATTTCCGAGTTTTTACAATCAACAATAATTGCAATCACTATTAAACAAACTTTTCACAATTTGAGTGTTTTATTTTACGTTCCTTCCCTACTGTGTTTCAGGTCAAAGCATTGTCTACAAGACTACAACCAACATAAGGGGGCCCTGCCTTAAGGTTTTACACTATCATATTTCTCGTGATTTGTCATATGATAAGTAACAAGCAATTGGATTTGTGTTTACACTATACTATTTTTGGTATTATGCGCGGTCATAAGACAAATCATAACTCATAAGGAAATAATATGTATATCATTGAATAGGAATGTTTCTATTTCTGCATGACAAATGACATGACTTATTTTAAATATCCAGTGATTCCCGCTCTTTTGTGGTTACTTTTCGCATTTTGCTGTGGTATCTCATGTGTACAATCTGAAAACTTGAGTAAACTGCATAAACAATACTAAATATTTATGTATTTGATTGTCTGGTTTAAACTGTTTGTAGTGGTCTTTTGAGGTAGAAAATCATATTCATCTTTTAAGACAGTATAAATGGCATCCACTGTTTCCGGAATAATGTGGAAATAGCAGGTACAGAAATCCTGAAAATATAAGCAATTCTTTAAATAGCATTGTAGTGATTCCAAGCGCTTCATTTCGCCTCTCTAACCATTTTCTTGTCCAAAGCCGTCGTGGTTTTTTATTACTTTTTTTTTTCTATAACTGTTCGTTTTAATAATAACAATAATAAGATGGAGATCTGAGATTGTATAACATTTTCCATTTTTAAATTTAATTCAGTGAAGGTTATGCTTACAGTGGCACCACGCTCAGAAAGTCCCTGAAGCTAGTTGCACATCGAACGTAAGCGTAATCAGAACCATAATCATAAGGTTCAAATGCCTGAAATATATGTCCTTTGCTACATGGAGTTACGCTTATGATTACGGTTATTGGGTGACCTTCATCACACATAACTTGTAAAATTGAGTTCAAATTTTTCAACTTTGTGTTTCTGATTATGTAAAAAAGCTTATAGCGCATGCTCGCATTCGTCAGCTGATTGTTTATAACCTAAATCTATTTTATGTTTTCAATTTCAAGGTGCCACTTTTACTCAAAATAAACCGCTATTTAGTCTAAATAATTTGCTTATTGCTTGTTTAGTGTATAATATAAAAGAGTATGTCTGCGTCTGCCCTTGAGACAATAGATGTGGAATTTAAGGGTCGCACCCACCATCGTCTTTTCTTAACTCCATTACCCAGAGTTGTTTTATTTCGATTACGAGTGTACAATAGCAATGTTAAGCAAAACGCATAATCATTTTTAGCCATTTCTTGTTTGCCGCGTATTTCAGGAAAATTTCAAAATTAAGGTTATAGATTACCTTCGATGTGAACACACACAAATTTTACGAATTGTGGTTACGTTTATGATTTCGTTTACGTTTGATGTGCAACCGCCTTGACAGAGCGTGTGTCAGAGGGCGCTAGAAATTTAAACCGTACATTCTGATGCAAAATTTAAAGACACTTTAAGGGAATTACATACCTTATCAGATCGTAGATCCAAGCTATATGCGCCTTGAAAAAGAAGAGTGTGTATAAAACTGTAGACGGAAAACGTAAAATAAAGCAAATACAAGAAGCAAAGTGTAAACTAAAATAACGTGAAGCGTCAACTGTCAAAATGGAATAATTAATAATTATGGCGCGGAATGTATCGCGTCGTTTTGCAGACGTTCTATTGGCCCATTGGCCAGCCTGAATTATTTCAAAATTAGTTCGCATATTTTCCGGGGCTTTTCTGAGCATGGTGGCACTGTATGTAACTTCTGTTTTTACTTAATATAAGTCACATGAAGTGTAAAGTAAAACATTAAAACTCGTACGAAAAATATGTTGGTAGTCAATATCATACGACATATCATATAAAAAATCATATGAGATATATTATAGTGTAAAGGTACCTTTAGATGTCTTATCACGTGCCACTTTTCAAATTTAAGCGGGATCTTGTTTAGTTTTGGAGGGAATAGCTTAGACTATGAAATAAAGCATTCGGGTGGCCATTTTTAAACGTTACCGAGATTAGTTTATTTCCGTGTTCTTGTAGTGTGAAGTTAGCGTAGAAGCTGGGGGTTAAGTACACTACATTCTACTTGAAAGACATTCTACAATCTTTTAGAACAGCTAGAGCGTTTAATGAGAGACATCTCGGGAGAAATGTAAGCCATGCTTATGTTCAAGATTTGGTCGCTAATTTCGAAGAAACGGGATCTGTTATCAATAAAAAAAAGAAAGCAACCAAGATTGCTTAATGAAGCAGCTCAGGTTGAAGTTCTTGGGCAATTTGCCATAAATCCCTCAATGTCAACTCGTCGAGCAGCTGAATAAGAGACAGGACTATCCCATGAATCAGTTTGGCAGATATTGAAACTTCACCACTTTCATCCTTATAAGATGAAGATACTTCAAGAACTTGGGGATGATGATCCAGATAGACTAATTGAGTTTTGTGAAACAATGATCAACAAAATTATAGCTGAGCCACAACTAGTAAGAAACATTTGTTTTAGTGATAAATCTACTTTCTATTTGAACGGCAATGTTAATTCCGTTCCAGTCTGAACTTCGCCCTATTGAGTCACCCATTATGTAATGTAATGTTTAAATATCTGTTCTTTGTATGGTGTGTGCTCAATAAATGTCATTATTATTATAAACAAAACGTTACTGGAGTGACAAAAATCCGCATATCTTTAGGGAAGGACATAGTCAGTGTCCAGAAAAAATTAATGTTTGGGCTGGTATTTTGGGGGATGCCATTATTGGACCGATATTCATAGAAGGAAGTTTAAATGGTGACATTTATATAGCGAACTGTTGGATAATACCATATACAACCACTGATTGTTGAAGAGTTGGAAAATCAGAAAGACAATATACAAGGCAATTTATTTCTAAATGAAAATTTGTTGCATTTTCAACTAGATGGAGCACCTCCACATTATGCCCTTCCAGTTCGACAATGGTTGAACGAACAATATCCCAACCAATGGATTGAAAGAACAGGTCCAATCGAATGGCCTCCAAGATAGATCTTACTTCTCCTGATTTCTTTCTGTGGGATCACCTAAAATCGATGGTGTAATTATAAAACTCAACCAGTTTCAATTGCAGAACTACGGGAAAGAATTATTCAAGAATGTCGTACTATATCTAAAGAGACCTTCAATAATGTTCGTAAAAAAACTCGTTTGAAAACAGACTTTATTTTTGTTTGGCTAATAATGGCAACCGTTTTCAACATTTAGTTTTTGTTGTTAATTATTAAATTTTTGTTAAATTGTCTTAATGAATATTGACTTTATTGGTACACTGGAAAGCATTTTTCAGTAGCTTTCCAATGATGTGTCACAAGTATGGGGTTGCCATTTAGGATTTTTGAGAGGGGGGTGGGGGTTGTCACTCATAATGTCATTCTGGTCCCCCCTCAATACCCCCGAAATGGTTGAGCGTGATTTTCAATGTCTTCTTTAGTTGCGAAAATATGGCAGACTGCAAGTTTTAAAATTGACACCCTGTATACTACTGGATTCACTTAAAACAAAGAGTGTTGTATACTTTTTGCTTAAAATGTATAATCCAAAAAAAAGAGATAGAAGTATATTTGTACCAAATCATTAGACACTTTGGACAAGCACTGTGTAAACGTGTGCGTATTACGTAAACGTTACTTTGTCACGGATACGTATGCTGTGAGTTAAGGTTGCTTTAGTTAGGACTGTGTTTTTCTAAGGTAGCGTATCTGACGTTTAGAATATTTTTCAAATACACCGACTCTCATAACCCAACTGTAAAGCTATGTTGCGTACGTCGGTTTATCCTCAAGGCTACACGTATCCGCATGATAATACGTAAAACGGGAGGAGCCTAACGTAATGCGATAAGGATGTCATACGGACACGGATACACAGCTCTGTCCTAAGTGTCTATTTTATGCGCATGCTTATGGTATACACTTCGCGCGAGAATAGTCGGGACTGTTGAAATCGTTACATCTATTTTGGAAGTAATCTCTCATTTCTTTTCGCTGAAAAATTATAGCTATCTCAGGGTTGCACAAATTGGAACACAGGTTGAGTATCCAGTAGACTAAACAATGCCAGTAGTATATAATCAAAGGTTGAAGCTGTGGCGGCCATATTAATGTTAAGAACATGTTAATTATTAATGAACAAAATTGATTCAAAATTTTTATTATAATCCACATACCCAATAATTATAATGATTAAAGAAATGACACGAAATTATCCTAATAAATAAAGGCATAATCGCACTGTCTGAATGAAATAAACCTAGCACAAACATTATTACAATAAGAAGCTAAATTGAAATATTACAAAGTTGCGTAAGTAAGTAGGATATTATACTTATTGTAAATAGATTTTTCCTTTAGATCAAGCTCACTGTGTTATTATATATCGTGATCTAAAAGTAAAATGTTTATTTTTAAGTTTTTATATATTTTGCAATTTTTTTCCATTTTTTTGTGTACTTAATTTATTCGGCTTTAATTTGGGGAGTGCCTTGCTTGGCCTGGTGGGCTTGCAACACGGCGACGGCTTCCTCCACTTTAGTCTTGAGCGCCTCGTTGTGCTCCAACATGTGGAGCAACTCGGAGTTGTCTATTTCAAGCAACATGCCTGTGATTTTACCGGCCAGATCGGGATGCACACGTTGGATCAGAGGGAAGAGACGCTCCCCGAGCATCTGCTTCTGCTCCTGCGGAGGAGCGGTCGCCAGCATGGTGGAGGTTAAAGGCTCTTGACCTTGGATGTGTACGGCTTGTTGTATCGGGGGTGCAGCAAGCGCGGAGGCGGGGTTACGCATGTTGCTGCTGTACTTGAAGCTTTGCTGACGGTTGCCTGCGGCGACGACGGTTGTCGTGGCGACTGGGCGTCTTTGAATGTTAGCCGGCTGTTGGCCGGTGATGGGGCGGACACCGACGTTGTTGCGCATTGCGTTAGCCGGGTTCGGTGCGCGGTTTGCCGGGCGATAAGTATTTTGCATGGATGCTTGATAGGAAGCAGGGCCGCTTTGTTGCGTTTGGCCGGTCCAGCGTGGTGTTGTTGGGATTCTCGGTATTTGCGAGGCATAAAAACGTTGCGGCTGAGGCAGGGTAGGCACGAAGTAGCCGCCCGCATTACCCGGTTGAATGTATTGGCTCATTTGATGTTGGATACTGCGCATGTTGTTCATGCGTTGCATGTACTGCGAGGTCAAATGGGCCTTACGGTCCTCTTTACGTTGGGCTAATGCCACATACAAAGGTTTGGTGCCCACAATGCGACCGTTCATTTCGGTAACGGCCTTTGTGGCCTCTTCGGGCGATGAAAAGCAGACGAACCCAAAGCCTTTGCTACGGCCTTCCTCCAACATCACTTTCGCAGAGGTGATGGTACCGAACGGCGCAAACTCTTTACGGAGACATTCGTCATCCACGGTATCGTCAAGATTCTTGATGTACAAATTGACACCTTGAAATCGGTTGATACGTTCCAAGCGCAACTGCTCGAAGCGCTTACGTAACTCCTGCTGGCGCTCCGCTTTCTTTTGGGCACGTCCCACGTACAAAGGCTTATTCTCAATCAATTCCTTACCTGCAATAAGACAAAAGTTAATGAGTTTACCCTCGAAATATCATTAACCACCCCCGAAAATTTGATCATGACATTATGTGCCGTCTTCAAGATATGACAAGGGGGGGGGTTGACTATTTCAAACCTTTGGACGGTATTTTGGTTGATTATTTATCCTTGAAATATCATTAACCATCCTCGAAAATTTTATCGTGATAGTATGTGCCGCCTTCGAGGTATGACAGGGCGGGGGGAGGGGGACGTATTTCAACCCTTTGGACGGTAGTGCACCTGGGTATTGTGGTTGATTATTTATCCTCGAAATATCATTAACCACCCCCGAACATTTGATCATGACAGTATGTGCCGTCTTCGAGATATGACAGGGGGGGGGGGCTATTTCAACCCTTTGGACGGTAGTGCACCTGGGTATTTTGGTTGATTGTTTATCCTCGAAATATCATTAACCATCCCCGAAAATTTGATCATGACAGTATGTGCCGTCTTCGGGATATGACAAGGGGAGGGGGGGTGACTATTTCAACCCTTTGGACGATAGTGGCACCTGAGTATTTTGGTTGATTATTTATCCTCGAAATATCATTAACCACCCCCGAAAATTTGATCATGACTGTATGTGCCGTCTTCGAGATATGACAGGGGGGGGGGGGGGATCATGAGATATGTGACGATAGTGGCACCTGAGTATTTTGGTTGATTATTTATCCTCGAAATATCATTAACCACCCCCGAAAATTTGATCATGACTGTATGTGCCGTCTTCGAGATATGACAGGGGGGGGGGAGTATTTCAAACCTTTGGACGGAAGTGTACCTGGGTATTTTAGTTGATTATTTACCCTCGAATTATCATTAACCATCCACGAAAATTTGTCATGACAGTATGTGCCGTCTTCGAGATATGACAGGGGGGGGGGGGGGGGGTGAGTATTTCAAACCTTTGGACGGAAGTGTACCTGGGTATTTTAGTTGATTATTTACCCTCGAATTATCATTAACCATCCACGAAAATTTGATCATGACAGTATGTGCCATCTTCGAGATATGGCAAGAGGAGGGTGACTATTTCAAACCTTTGGACGGTAGTGCACCTGGGTATTTTGGTTGATTATTTATCCTCGAAATATAATTAACCACCCCCACAAATTTGATCATGACCTTATGTGCCGTCTTCGAGATATGACAGGGGGGGGGGGGGTGAGTATTTCAAACCTTTGGACGGAAGTGTACCTGGGTATTTTGGTTGATTATTTACCCTCGAATTATCATTAACCATTCATGAAAATTTTATCATGACAGTATGTGCCATCTTCGAGATATGGCAAGAGGGAGGTGACTATTTCAAACCTTTGGACGGTAGTGCGCCGGTATTTTGGTTGATTATTTATCCTCGAATGATCATTAACCATCCACGAAAATTTGATCGTGATAGTAATTGCCGTTTTCGAAATATGATGACGAAGGTTTTCTATTTAATTGTAAGTAGAAATGTTTCAGTCAATGTTTCAGTATTTAGTGAAGGATGAATAAAACCAAAAAAATTTGCTTCGGGTATATTCGGAAATTTTGACAGCTGGTATTGGTATTTCACACCGGTCATATTGGGCCCCTGTAATTTTGGCTCCACTTGTGTCTTTCTTAGTTGGAGTCAGAGAGATACCATTACAAGGAATAAAACCTGAAATAAAAGTAAAACAAATACTGATTCAAAAAATTTGTTGAAGTGCTATGGGAGTGTGCTTACTTGATTTTATCTGTTAATTTTTGGATTTTGACATTTTGATGTGGCCAAACAGGATGCTTCAATTTATTTGACACACTGCATATTAAAGGGCAACTAAATGGTGCATTTTAGTTTTGGAACAACCCCATTATTGGGAAAAATGAAAAAAATGGTCGTTTATAGGAATAGTGAACCTCATTTCAGAACATATTGTACAGTAGAACCCCGATTATCCGTGCAATCCGTACAAAAAAGGATTTGTACTATGCTCTTACAATTTTCCTTCAAGCCCCTTGATGTTATGCAACTAATATAGCAATAAAGAATGGACTTTTGCATCAGAATTACCATTTAAAAATATAGGGCCCTCAAACACGCCTTGCTAGCGACATGACATAGTAAGCTTGGGGGCACTGTACTTTGAGCAGAGATAAACCACCCCCTGTCTGCTAGTTAACGTCTTAATTAGAATGCGAATCAACAAATTAGACAAAGAATATCTAACCAAACATAATTACAAAGAATGATTAAAAGCTGGTTTTACAAAGGATGATTAATAATAATCGACAAATGACTTATCTTATAATCCCAGGTGGCTTAGCATGTTTATTGTTTTAAATCATTGATAAAGATGAATCATTGTTTGTGAAACCAGGCATTAGTCATTCACTGTAATTCCCATACTTTTATAGCATTTGTTTAATTCCAAGCATCAACAATTCCTACCGTTCAATTGCTCAACGGCGGCTTCTGCTGCTTCCGGATTGTCGAACGCGACAAAACCAAATCCGCGTGATTTACCATCCTCTTTAGTCATAATCTTCAAGCTCGTGATCGAGCCAATCTTGTCAAACAACCCCTTCAGTTGCTCCTCGTTCATATCTTCGCCAAAGTTTTTAATGTAGACATTCGTGAACAGCTTGGCCTTCTCCCCCAATTCCTTTTCGCGCTCCTTACGTGGAATGAAACGGCCAACGTACACTTTCTTACCGTTAAGTAACATACCGTTAACTTTCTCGATCGACTTAAGAGCCGTCTCCTCGGTCTCAAAGTGGACAAATCCGTATCCCTTACTAACGCTGTTCTCATCTTGCGCCACTTTGCAGCTCAGAATGTTACCGAAAGCGGAAAACGTGTCGTACATCGCCTTATTATCGATGCTCTTATCGAGATTTTTAATAAACACGTTACCGACTCCGGACTTGCGTAAACTAGGATCGCGCTGAGACCACATGATACGGATCGGCTGTCCCTTCATCAAATCGAAATTCATGGTGTCGAGGGCGCGTTCCGCATCGGCCGGTTGTTGGAAGTTAACGTAGGCGTATCCGAGAGAACGTCTCGTTATCATATCTCTACAAACCCGGATGGAAAGGACAGGTCCGGCGGTCGAGAATTTCTCGAAGAGCATGGCTTCGGTGACATCGGAATGCAAGTCACCCACATAAAGTGAAACCATAGGATAATTAGGAGCTCCCGGATTCATTGTTTTAGAATGTTAGATCAAAGTACACTAAATTTAATCACTAAATTCCGCGAGGAAATCAAATCGTAAAAACATATGGAACAAAATTTTTCGTTTACACTTTATTTTGTTACAAATTTTTGTTGATTTTACGATTTTTTTTTACTTTTTTATTATAATTTTTAGTTTTTTTTTTATTTTTATTAAATTTATTTCACAAAGCTGGGTGAGCAGTGTGACCCAATTAGGAACACCACGTAACCTCACTTAACTCTGCTTCCGTTTCTGGCCTTTATATATGCGTGCACTTCATTAGTCAAATCACGCTCTCGGTTCGGGCGCTAAATTATTAATTCAAATCTAAAATTGCATTTTAATGCAAATCACGTACGAATAAAGTTTCCAAAAAATACGCTTAATTGAATCCTGGTAAAATAATCGAATAATTTCCGTAGTTTTTACTTTTTCCGTAATATTTCACAATACGTACTACCGCAGTATTTCCGCATATTTCTCCTTCCCGTCAATCGCCATTATCGCCACGCCACTTGTAAAATTCCGTTATAAATATTACTTTTTATCAGCTTCTAATCCTACATGAGATCTCTAAGGGCCATGGCAACAAAAAATTCTTACAGTTGGGCATGATTATGCTGTAAAAGGATGAAGAAGTCATTGCCGGTTGAGGGCAATTTAAGGAAATGTTCGTTTTCTTTCAATACAGGGTGTTTCAAAAATATGTAATATCTTAAGACTTTTTCCTAATTTTTTCTTTCGTTTCTTGAACTCGTAGAGTCTCTTTTCGTTCTCGAGTTAGACGGACAGACGCAGGGTCGGACAAAACTATCACAAGCAGATACACTATTGTCTTAACTCTGAGGCATTGAATTTATAACTAAATTCCATGTCCATGTCTGAGGGGGACGCTTCGACGTGTATGGTAACGTCGTTACAGCAGGCCTGACGAGAAGGGGGGGGGGTAAACGGGGGAATTCCCCCTGGGCCCGGATTTTGAAAAGGGGCCCATTGCATGGTTTTTTGGGAATAAAATTTTTACATCCATAAAGCATACCAATTTCACTAAAATAAAATGTTTCATATTATGAGTCCTTGATTAGTAGAATATAAAGTAATGTGGAATAGGTAAGTTTAACCACAAAAAAGGGGCCCGTGCTTAACAACCCCCCGGGCCCCAAGTTTCTCTCTACGGCCCTGCGTTACAGCACGTTGCGCCGATACACTCTTTTTTAAGTAACCGGATGAGAAGCGAATATACAAAAATGTATGCATGTCATCGTAGTCTACATAACCAAGTAGGTACAATAAAAATTGTGCACAACTTTTGTGCAGATAAAGTGCATTTTTTTACACTGAAATATAGCTTAGTAAATGGTTGGGGCTATAAGCATATATCTAAATAAATTTATTTAGATATATGTATAAGGTATAGTAGCATGCTGTATCCATGTTTTCTTTCTTTCTTGTTAAATAGTGATATGTTTCGCCCAGACAGCAATTCATTTTGCTTTTGTGGGTACTTTTCTCCGACAAAAGCGTTATCGAGATATTCTACTAATATACTTATATCCGATCACTATAAGGAATTGAGGAGGAGATTTATGTATGGTAGTATGGTACAAATGAATCCCCCCCCCCCCCCTCCGAACCAAACCCTCTTTTGATAAGAAGCCAGCTGAAAGTATGGTGGTAGTTGGTAGAAAAACAGTTCCTTTTGTTGCATGAAAAATTAAACTAATTTCAACCCCTTCCTTCGTTTCCCGACCTCCTACTCATCTGAGAAAGGAGTCGCGGCAGGAAATTTATAGTTTGTGAGAGCGGGAGAGTTATTTCGGCTAAATTAATGCAATTTCTTGTGTAAAAAAAACGTTAACCATGTGTGTTATAGATCCATCCTTGTCTAGGGGAGTGCTAACCGTCTCTCCTTTCATACAACACAAAAGAGTGCTTCCGTTATTCGGTATATCTACAAACAGTATCTAGAAGACCACATGTGAGAGGTAACTTAACAATTTAGATTTATAAACAATTTAAGTGTGGCACTTGCTTTAAGCTACCTACAGAGATTCATGGTAAATGGGCAACAGTTACAGCTACAACTAAAAAGTAGGAAAACTGAACCACTATTTTCAAAATAAAATTATTTATGTGAATTATATATTTTGTAGTTACCGAAACTATTACATAGAAGCGGCACACTTCGAAAGAAATTTGAGTGCCGGGACGTTTTCATGATGAGTCCGACTATGTAATAGGTAGGCAACACGTCAGGCCCATTATAAAGAAAGGTGGAGAAAAGAACAGATGCCAGAAAGCTGGAGAATGCTCTCATAATTTCCTTGTACAAAAAACACATATATTTACTTGATGCAAAGAGTACCCATTTGTTTGATGTATCGTATTTGTAAGTTAGAAGTAAATCTACTACATTTATCAAGAATATAGTATCCTGGAGGTTATAAAAAAGAGAAGCATGTCATGGTTAAGTTACTTATTACTTAGACTTAGAGAGAATGCCAGACAGTAGGGCATCGAAACTTAATTGCGTGGAAAGTAAAAACAATCAATTCAAAAAAAGAAAGACAGACGAAGAATCTGATAGAGATAGGTGTTGTTACTATATATATAGCTATTACGAAAAAGAAAGCAAAGAACACAAAGGTATAATTCCAAATAATCAACTCACCAGGGCTGTACTTAAACCCAAAATACGTCGATTTCTATGAAAGAGAAGCGGGAGGTATCCATGTTGTGGTGTTTTAATCATTAACGTTTAATTCGATTTCTAGCTGAATTTGACAAATGATAGTATGAAAATATTGCTGCCTAGCACCCCCTCTGAATTATAAGCACCCCCTCGAAAATGTTAAATATAAATAAAGTTCTTCTGAAAGGTCTATTTAGCAATATACAGTTTGTTTAATTAACAAAATCGACATGTTTCGGATTTTTTTGCTAATAGTACAGCTACAAAAGGGTGTCGCTTACTAGAGCGAATTTATTTATTTTTCCTCTCTTGTTCTGGGCTCTCAACAGGATTGCGAATCGCGGTATAAACGAATTAGTACATATGGACCACCCTGTATGCTCAGGGTTCGTTGATGGTCTGTGGCTCTGTTAACTGTATACAGTTTTTACCAGTGGCGTAGACGTGGTACACAATTAACCTCACTTTTTTGTTTATTTTATTTTGGTCATAAATGGAAAATTTGGACTGATATAGCAGCTTAAGAAATGAATAAGTCACTGCGTGATGAAAAAGTGTGTTGTCCAATTAGCGATTTGAATTCTGTTTGGCAATACACAAAAAATCCTCCAAAATGGATAACTCAAATAGTCGATATCAAACCTCGAAGCGACTTTGTTATAAAAAATACATCCTTAACCTGCCATACGGAAAGTAACAGATTTGCACCCGCAACTAGATTTGATCGTCATACTACACCTCGTACTTTAGTCTGCCATGATATGAAAGGGGGCTACATCGAAGACAAGTGAGTTTTAGTATCATCTTCGCATCTAATCACACCAATTATTAGGTTTATTGATCCGCTCAATAAAGGAAACTGCTACACTTTTTACCGTTGGTCGCAGATCGACATATTCATCTACTTCAGCCACCATTTAGTGACCATACCTCCACTCGCTTGGATTAACGCGGCCCACAGTAATGGAGTACAAATTTTAGGCAAGTGGTACCGTCCCGCAATCGATTCTCATTCTTTGTCCTCATAGGTACCTTTATAACCGAATGGGAACCAGGGAAAGCAGTATGCGAGGAAATTTTCGCGAGTCCGAAGTCGTTGAAGAAATTTGTTAATATTTTAGTCGAGATTTGTGTCTTATTTAAACTGGACGGATGGTTACTTAATATCGAAAATGGCCTGGACGATACTGGCCCTTTGAAAACTTTCGTAAAACAACTCACAGAGAAAATGCACATGAAACGTCCTGGCAGTCTGGTGCTTTGGTACGATAGCATTACTGATGAGGGAAAATTAAAGTGGCAAAATGAATTAAATGCAAATAACAGGTGGGTATAATACATTGCTGGCATTGTTGCCACTTGTTGCTTGAAACAAACCTAATCTTTTTATTCTTGTCATTTATCAATACATTTTATGTTCGTCCACCCAAAATTAGAGTGGGGATTTTGACTAGATCTGTCGGGACTGATAGCATCCCATTGATCTGAGGGTTACATCTTCATCAGATTATTTTTTTTATAGTTACTCAAGATAGTGAAAAGACTCATCTTTAAAAATGCCATTATTTCTAGTTTATGGCGATTTAAGGTTACAGTACTTGATTAAGATAGCAGGCTCGTCAGCCATTTTGGAGACCACTGACAATCCAAATTTGTGCACAAAAAAGTGTTTCAGGTGTAAGGTCTTATCTTTACGCATTAATAAACGTTGAAAGAATCAGTGGATTTTCTGTAAATAATAAATAAATAAATGCGGAACATGGAACGTTTTGCAAGCGTCAATTATCAGTGGGCTCCAACATGGCGGACGAGTCAGCTGTGTTATTAGCTATAATCCCAATCCCAATGCCGCCACAAGAATGAGAATCACCGCCAAATTTGAAAATGTCATAGCTTCATTCAATATATTTTTTGTCTCTAAAATTTAAATAACCTTCCCTTCAAGTGGGGTCCGGGTCGCGTTTTGTCCAAGTTAGCGTTAATTGTGGTAGGCGGTTTATGTGAAAATTCATAAAAAAGATTATTTTATGGTGAAAGTGGTGGATTCTGTAAATACAGGAGACACCGTTTAAATGTGGATTTTTTATTTGGTGACTGTTATTTTTGTTGCGCGGTTATTTTGAGCAGTCGGTCCTATTTCTTTAGTTGGAAACTTAGTCGGCACTAATTAAATTAAATATAGCATTTTTGTTATCCAGCTCACTTTCTTCGTCTTTCCTTCCCCAGAATCCCTTTACTATCTATTTACAAACGGCGTGCCCTTTCATATTAAGTAACAAAGGAAACTCGTAACAGTAACCAGTAAAGAGTTTCTTTTAGGTGTTACTTTGATAATTGCGACGGCATTTTCCTCAACTACTCGTGGAATGAAGAGAATCTTGTAAATACGTATCAAGCAGCTGAGCATAGACGCCACGACGTTTACGTTGGAGTCGATGTGTTTGGACGCAATTTCTATGGCGGGGGAAACTTCAACACTTACTTAGTAGGTGAATATTCCCATTCTGATATGAAAGTGGTCCATTTTAGTTTTTTGCAGGCCGTCGAAAAGATTAGAGAACACGATCTTTCAATTGCAATTTTTGCGCAGGGTTGGACTCACGAAACTTTAGATCCTGAGCCGGCGGATACTTTTTTGGAACGCTTTCTAGCTCGGGATAATGCCTTTTGGAAAAGCTTATGGCCGTATCTTTATTCCTATCCTATTAATAGAGTCTTCGAGACATTTTTCTATGTGGGCGTTGATAAGGTAAGGAGGCACAGTTTCACTTTGTCATAATATCACAGCCGTTTAGAATTGGTACAAGCTAAATAAACAGGACGTGCAACTCTCCCAGTGTCTGCAGTCAAGTCTGAATCTGGCAGAAGTCGAGAATGTTTCAACTTTAGACGGTTTGTGTGATTGCCTTCAGTTACATTACCAAGAGCCTTACACGATCTGTTCGATAACGAGTAAAGCTCTCAAAGTGGAAGAAACTTACATTCATCATTTATTCTCATGTGAAATACGAGTATCCTCTTCCGTTATTTTCTACAGTTACATCAAACAGTTTAACGCATCATGCTGTACCGAAAGCGAAAATGATTATCTTGATTTGGTAATTTTAATTCGTAGTCGAGGTGGTTCATTTAAAAAAATTGTGTGCTATTCTGAAAATAAACAAGTTTTAAACAGCAGCTGTACTTCAATGGAAATTAACTCCACCGAAGATGAGCGTGTAGTTAATTTAGTTTCAAATAAGCACAAAGTTCCGTCTGACTGGATTTTGAGGTACTTGTATACCACTCGCTTCTGCCATTAATGCAATATTTCCAGGTGCTATGTTCTCGAGATTAATGATACTGTGATAAGTGAAATTGGTGCAATTATTAGAAATAATTCCTGTGTAGGTCTTTGTGGAATCGGATTTATAGAAGTACCAACCTAGTTGTACAGATAATTTTATTAGGAGTTGTTGCTATCCTTAATTTTTACATTAAACTAAATTTACAAACACTCCTCGTTTGATTGGGTATTCATTTACGAATGGATATGGACTCTTTGTTGCAGAACAACAACACAAATAACCTAAATCCTAAGGGTCAGAGGGCCATCTCGAGGGAATGCTTGGCTGAATAGAGGATCAGCAATTACTGGAGCACCGGGCGCCACTTCGTTGTATTAAGTCGCCTGCACATGTGCAGGGGGCAACGCACCTGTGGACATTTCTTTCCGCCTATATAATAAAAGTTTATTACCCAACAGCCAATGTCAATTACAGAGTAATGTTACATAAGGAATATGTTAAAAGTTAAATAACATAGTTTGTAGGTTTTTTTAATTCGTCGGACGGAAGGGGCGAAATTTCGATTCGTTGAAGCATAAAACCTCCCAAAACCGGTAAGGGCGCACGCCTGGATCCCGGGGGCTCACGTAGAACCAGAGAAGGAGAAGATCCTGAAAAGGATCGAATCCAAAATGCCCTTGTGACAACGAGCAATTGGCGTGCGATGGATAGAAAGGAGGACCCCGAGGGGCAAACAGTCTTGATCCCAAGTGCTGATCATTGACATTGGAATTTATCAAATTGTTTGATGTGTGTATGGACTTGTTTGTAAAGTAACATGTTCGCCGAGAATGAGGCAGTCACGGGGAGCTAAATAACTGTAACCACTTTAGTTACGACACCTTGTAACGAAAGCTTGTTAAATTTTGCAAGTTTTGTGGATTTCAAAATTATATTCGGGTAGAAATGCGTATCGATGATTCAGATTTCTGTGAAGTTGTAATGTTCATTAAAATTAACAAACATTTTTTTTTTCTCGATGTAATTAAGTTTCAAATATCGTGAAATATAAGATGAGTTATTGGTTTTGGACTTCCTATTTTGGGCGAGTTAACGATTAGTACGTGATTTAAAAAAGGTCACCGGTTAAAAGACGCAATAGATTCTAAGAAAAATATGTAATAAAACAGCGAGGCTAAAAAATTATGAGTTTGTTTATTTCCGGAAACTTGATGGGAGCGTTAATTACGGGCGTTGGTTTACTCGCGATATAAAAACCAAAATGATCAGACATTTGGGAGCTTATTGCGTAGATATTCACGCGGAGCGTGGTACCGCCGCGGAAAACGCGGCCACCACTTATAAAGTTTTTTCGTAGATATTCGCACGGGCGAGTGTCATCGCGGAAACGGGCCATTTAAGTAAAAAGGCCCAAACCAAATAAAATTTGTTGCGCGTATTAATAAAAAATCGTATTTTTTTAACCAAGAACAAGTTGGTCGTTCTGGAATAGTGAATTGTTCGGAAAGATTAATCATTGAGTAACTGCAGTTTAGTTTAACGTGCGATTGAAAGACTTCCGTTCATAAATTATACCTAAAGTACGAAAAGCGCGCTAAGAAATTGTTGTTCAATTGGGATTACGCGATTGGATTTAATAGGTGAAGATTGAAAATAATCTAAATCATGCTCCACTACAATACCCACCATCTAAAAAGGGGAAGAATACTACTGTCTAAATTGTAAGTTATTTTTATGAAAAGTTATTTACCTAGAAATTTATTCATATAAAATTGTTATTTTGTCATTTTATAATTGTTTTTGCCGAATATAGATAGGATAAATATAAGTTAGAAGTTAGAAGAATATTCATTGCTGTAGGTATTTAATTAAGTGTTATATTAAGTAAATTTAAATATTAGGTATTCAGATTCAGGATAGATGTAAGTAATTGAGTAATTAAGATTTAATATAAAAAAGGAAATCAATTGTAAGTGCAGTGGAATTTGGATTTATTTTATTTCAATATAATCGGTTTATTTATGTAGATTTATTTTTTATCAATCAGAAACGTGAGACGGTAATAGTAGGGCTATTACAACCTAATGCGAGGGCTGATCTCGACTCTCAACTATAGGTTGGGAACTCACACAAGCAGGGCCTATTGTTACCGGTTCCAGGGTTGGAACTCTGCAAACACAAAAACTTTTCAGTTTAGAAACTATGCTCGATATACAGTCTGTCCCAGATCGGATGGGATTGCATGGGTAACTAGTTTTATATAAAAGTTACTGCCTTTGATATGCCTAATTTAGAATTGATGTAAAAAAAATTCAAGATGGCTACCTTTGATGAACATTTACCAACTTCCTAAAGTTAAATAGGCGCCATATTGCATTTTTAGATTATTTCATTATTTGATAGATTTTTTAATTCTTTTTTCAACGAGCTATCATAGCATAAGAAATAATAATAATAATTTAATCAGTATAAGACAATTGCACAATTGTATAACATCGTCACAAACAGAATATAATAACAAGCGGAGGTACTTCGTACTAAATCTCACAATATAAATTAATAATGGAAACTAGACATTTTTCATACGGTCCAAGAATTCCTGGTGGCTGTAAACAACATTTTCTATTAAAAAAGATTTTAATTTTTTTTTAAATTGTATAAGTGATGTACCTTCATTAAGTGAATACGGTAACATATTAAAATATTTGCACCCGGTATATTCCGGCGACTTCTTATAAAATGAATGTCTCGGCTTTTCCAAAAAAAGCTTATTTTTTTTCCCTCGTGTTGTAGCTGTGGATGTCACTACGGATTATAAACTTTTGTCGATGCTTATATATATGTACCAGACAATTGTACACATAGATGGAAAAAAATGTCAATATCCCATTCTCACGAAACACACTACGACAACTTTCATTATACTTTAGCCCAAATATGAGGCGGAGCACTCGTTTTTGTAAGATGAATACCCGACTGGCATGACACGAGTTACCCCACACAATTATATTATAATTAATAACGGAGTACACTAATGCATAGTAAACATTTAGGAGCGCTTCAACCTTTAATGTATTTCTTAAATTCATGATTAAGAAAAACGCACTGTTCAGTTTGTTGCGCACCGTTGACATATGTTCGGACCATGATAGATTAGAGTTCACTGCTACTCCTAGAAATGAAGTAGTGTGCACTCTAGGAATTTCATTATTTTTTATTTTGAATGTAAATATTTGCTGTTCTGTCCGTGTGGAATGTAGTTCTATAAAAGATGATTTTGTATAATTGATTTTTAAATGGTTATTTGCGCACCACTTTAGGCAACGTGTTGCCATTGATACTATAACACGCCTTTAGAATGGCTTCGCGCAGTTGTGTTATTATTACCTATTAGTATAGTAGGTACTACCATATACTTTATTCTTTTATGTCCAATGTGCACAATTCGTGAATTGTGACCTGGGCAGCCAGCTTAATTGTTGGTAGGTACCATATAAACCAACCCTTTCTGCGAAACATACGTTGTTTAGAAAATCCTTTAAGGAAGATTATTAGAGAATTTGTAAATAATGGTGAGCAGTTCCATCGAAGATTACCGGTCCAATTACATGACTTCCCATTATGCCATATAATACATTAATTTAAAATCTTAAATGATTTCGGTGTCAAACTACAACATGTAGGTTTTCCTGTGACGAGTAATGTTCATGATGTCGATTTGAACACTCCGCAGTTACAAAAATAAGACTCATTCTGTCCATATACTTGGACTCGTAAAACTACAGTTAGTTTCGAACTTCTTACGGATAAACCACCTAAAAAATGTGACCTCGGACAATGCATCAATGGTAATACCATAATACTTTGTGTGAATTGAAGTGTCTTGAAATGTGTTTAACTGGATAATGGCATGCAAGCGCGGATCCAGCTTCTACAAAAGGGGGGAGTTGCATGCAGTAAAAAATATGACACTATTTACGTAAATTCCCATTTTGCGCCGAAGGGGGGGGGGGGGGTTGCAAAGAATTTAAGAAAGAAATAATCTGTTTTTGAAGGACTATTTATTAGGTAAGGATCTAATATAGGTACATATAACCTACTAAACCGACATGCGCACAAAATGCATTTTTTTTTCGGAAAGGGGGGGTTGCAACCCCCTACCTGAATCCGCGCTTGATGGCATGGCATTTTTTCGAGGGGATAGTTAGTAGTTATACCAGCATTTTGTAGGTACATTTATATAAGTATGGATAATATGATAGTCAATAAGTATGACGTCATAAAAGTCAAAATTTTTCTACGCCGATTTATATAAAATTTTGAAGGGAGTTGTAACGCCCAAACCCCCCTCTCATGTGTGCGCCCCTGATATTTTAAACATCTGATTTCATTTTTTTTGCCTCCAATAGTTTTGTTTTGCTTTTTTTAAATCATAGCCTAAGTACTTGATTAAAATATAAAAACCGTTGATATAACTGGTATATTATTTTCAATCTTATGCTATGATATATAGCTCGTTGAAAAGAGAATTAAAAAATCTATCAAATAATCTAAAAATGCAATATGGCGCCTATTTAACTTGAGGAAGTTGGTAAATGCATTGAATGGTAAATGTTCGTCAAAGGTAGCCATCTTGAATTTTTTTTACATAAATTCTAAATAGGCGTATTAAAGACAGTAACTTTTATATAAAACTTTTTTTTATATCTATTGTACTTTCGATGATATAAGGCGAGATATAAGGACATTAAAGGAAATGACCAATTTTAATTTTTTTGAATTTACGTCGAACCTATTCAACATTTTGAATTTCCACAAGGAAATTTTAAATAGGCATCTAAAACTGCAAAACATTGTCCATTTAACCAATTCTGTGTCTTTAATAATAAGAAAGTTACCCATGCACCCACCTGATCTGGGACACACTGTATATGAGTTGCGATTCACTGATTTCCACATATTTTGTTGCCATGTACTTTTTCACAAAGACTTATTGCACTTTCTCAGAATGTTTATATTACCTTACCTGAAGCATTGGTCCCAAAACTTGTTTTAACCTTGAGTGCAACCAACTTTCTATAGCATTTACTCTTTTTTTAATCAATGCTTAAACTTGGTTATATCACAAATTACTTTGCTTTTGGATTTATTAATCAAATGTCAAGGTTTTTCTCGGTCGTAAGTACTCTTTTTACTCTCGGCAGTTGCTTTTTTTTTTAGAGTACGGCACCTTTTGGTCTTTGCTTGCTTGGCTAAATTTCCCGGTTTTCAGAATCTTCCTAATAATAATTATATTAAAGAAACCTTTGACCATTTCAGTGTTTTATTTTGTGTTCCTTCCCAACCGTACTTCAGGTCATACCGTTATTTACAACTAACGTAAGGGAGCCATTATCACGTGATCATAGCCATGCGAGTTGTCTTTATTTACCGGGTTGATTTTATTTACGTGTTATTATAATGTGCAGAAGTTAGCGTGGAACCTGGGGGTTAAGTGCACTACCAGTATAGGTAGGTATGCTTTTAACGATTTATGGCCATCTATTGCGAAAATGGTCATGGATTTCAAGCTAGGCTTAGCTTACATTTTCTGGTGCAAACGGCAATTAGTTGAAGTGTTTTAGTAGTTTCCATGGGTCAAGCGCGTTCATCGGATATATCGAGAATTGTGTGAAAAAGGAAGGGAAGATGTGGGTGAGATGTGTAAATTTACTGGGGTTAAACGCGAAACCACAAATGCGCTATGAATGAAATTATGCACAATTAAAACTAAATTGCATTAAAAAGAATCCTACGTAAAAACAGTAGGTACAGGAATTTTGAGAGCTGTCTCCCAAAGGGAACATTTTCGACCCATTGTGGGCTGACGCGACCCCCTTGTAAATCCGCGCATTGGTCTATCATTCTGGCAGTTGATTTCCATGGAAACATGTGTATTTACTTAGGCGATAAGGTTATAGATTAGGGTACACTTTAAAGGGGTGGTCAAATATATCTTGAGGGGGGGGGGTATTATCTGTCGGCCATGTTTGAGGTATAAAAAAGGCGCTTATTTTAAACTACGCGATGTAAATCATAGGTATTGCCGTCATGTTTAATTAACTTTTGGGCGTTGTGTAATTATAATAAATAAATACTTTTGTTAATACTATACACAGAAATTTTGTCATTTTGGAGGAATTGAAAATTCGCCATGTTTGAGGTATTTACATAAGAAGAATTTAGAGTTTAGAGCAGTGCTCGGAATGGAAATTTTCGCGAGCCGGAACGCAAGCATCAGCCCATCAGGAGGGGGGGGGGGGGAACATAGAAAACATATAGTACGTAGGTACATAAAAACAACGAGAAAACGTAACAAAAATTAAATGTTTCATTTTTATTGTTTCCCTTGGGTAGGAGACCATAGTGGATACTAATGGGTTCCGTGTGCTGGTATGATCTGAAGGACGTATTATCGTTTCCATGTGATTTTTATCGCATTAATTACAAATAATCCAATATATAGGGTAGGGTTCTTTACAATTTCTTTGTGTGCGGGCGGAGAGGATCTGACGCTGCGGTCCCTTTACGAAAAGGAACAGTGTACAAATATTTTCGACGAAACGGAACGATATTGTAATATTTTTTACCAACCGGAACAGCGTTCCGGCTCGTTCCGGTCCATTCCGAGCCCTGGTTTAGAGTATACCCTAGTTTAGATGAAACATAATAGATAGTGGCAACGATGCATGAAAAGTGTATAACCACTTCAGTACCAATTTAATGGGACATATTACAAACAAGTAAAAAGGGTTTCGCCCTAAGGCGAGTAACTTCAGCGCATTTTCCATAAATTGATCAATACTTTCCCAAAGGCCATACCTATGTGCGCTATGTTTTTCATTCTAGAATCTAGAGGCATATATGGTTAAAATTTTAAAGAAATATCTTCAGAAATAAGGAAGTTGACACTTACCGCGCAGTTGATATTGCGCCGCATGCGCTTATTAATCTGATATTTACAATATGCAATACGTTTGCTTTTACTATAAGCATCTTTGGTTAAAATTTCAAAGAAAGATCGCTCCATAAATAAGAAAGTTGCCATTGCGCAGTCTGCGCATGCGCACATTTGATTTTTACTATATACCTACGATATATTTGCCTTTACTACAAGTATCTGTGATTAAAATTTCAACAAAATATATTAATAAATAAAAAAGTTAACATTGGGCAGCCTGCCCATGCGCAGTTCAATCGTCAAGATTTTCCTCTCAGGTGCCAGAGCGATATGCTACCGAATGCAACGAACTAAATATCTTGAAAACTGTAGGAGTAGTTAAGGCCTCGGACAGACGGACGGACAGAGAAAGTGGCTGCAATAGCGCACCCAACTTCGTTGGAAAATGCGCTAAAAATTGATTTTTATTCAATGCCTATAGCTTTTCCACATATGAATTCAATTTTCACTTAAATACAGTTTCATATAATTCGAAGTAGCAATTCGGCAGTCCCGCAAAAAGTTACAATCTGAATTTGTAGCATTCTAGCTTGAGCTAGGTGGCTATATTGCGATCAATCACCGTTTTTTGGATCATTTTAAGCAACTTCTAAAGAATAATTTTCCCCCATATGTAGGTACAATGCGATCAAATATGAGTTGTTGTCGAGTCACCTTTGAAATTTTTGTTTACATGGGAAATCGTATTTAACTTCAACTTCCAAAGGCGACTCGACAGCAACTCGTTTTTGATCACCCGTTATACGTATAAGTATCTACGCGTAAAGTATACGTACGTTATTGTAGGTACGTACGTTGGCGATTTTTCAAAAGACCGATTTGGTCAAATTTTCCATATGAATATTAGGCACACGGAAACGAAAATAACGGACCCGTTTTTGAAAAAATTTTGGTGCGCCGCAACGGCACAAAAGTTTCTTTTTTCAAATAATAACGCTTAGATATACCGGTCTGAGCTAGGAAGCTGTTCGATCAAGAATTTGGCTAGTCTGGTTTTGAAATGTTTAGATTACAGCATTTTCACAGTGAAAGATTACAAAAGATCAAATTTCGTCGAATACAGAATTTTTTCTGGCTTCCATCTGAGGATGCGTCGATGCGCTATCTGTGGTATAGGTAATATGTTGGGAAAATTGTTCATTAAGAATCTGAAAGGGCATATCCAAAGATATGTCGTTCTTCTTTATCGTCTTTTGGTTTCCGAGAAAAATATTCAAAAAGGAAACGCTCCAAACAAGGTTTGCAACTCTAGATTTATTTAAAAATAAAAAGGTTGTTTTTATCCCCTCTATATCCTCAAATACGGACCCAATTTTGTTATATTTCTATTTTCGTCTAAATGCATTACATTAGTCTTTTACGAAATAACGCAAATCGTTTGCACCTTTTTTCAGGCGGAATTTTTAATAAATATAACAGCACACCGTCCTTTAAATGCGTAAGTGTGGCAACCACGCTATCTATTTTCAAGTTTAAGCGCCATTTGTCGGCGTCATCTTGACCTCCATTTTGTTGTAATTCGTAAGACGCGTAGAGGTGATTTCTTTTGCAAATTTTTGAGTTTTTTTTCGATTTCCAAAAGTAAATATTTACGGAGGACGAGTTCCTTTCAATGATGAGTTACGGTAGGCCTCCGCCTCGCATCGAAGGCATGGTTTCGTTAAAAGTTGATAACCTTACTTATCGGACCACGCCAGAAGATTTACGCCGGGTTTTCGAACGCTGCGGCGAAGTCGGTGATGTTTATATTCCCAGGGATCGCTTCACCAGAGAAAGTCGTGGATTTGCGTTCGTCAGGTGCGTAGCGTTAGTTTGTAACCGCCTTTTGACAAATTGCGTCTTTAGATTTTATGATAAGCGGGATGCCGAAGACGCACTCGACGCCATGGACGGTCGTATGTTGGACGGAAGGGAGTTGAGAGTGCAAATGGCCCGCTACGGACGTCCGACATCTCCACATCGCCGATATGGACGTTCTAGCCGGAGAAGGTATGACCAATTTTGCTTTCGCTTCCATTCATTTCAGTAGTGCCAAGTTTGCGTGGGTAATTTTGGTCTCGCTCTCGTAGGCGAAGCAGGTCAAGATCCCACCGTCGCCGTTCACCAAGTCGCAGCCACTCCAAGTCGAGGTCAAGGTCTCGTTCCGATAGTAAGAGCTCGAGGGGAAGGTCTCGATCACGTTCCAAATCTGACAAGCCGTCTGGCAGCAAGTCACGTTCCAGATCGAAATCCTAAGGTATCAAAGTCCTAACTAAACTAAAACTAAACGTGACTCCCAGCCAAACCACCTTTGTTGCTTGTAGTATTCGAAGTTGTGTTTCAAATTTAACCCTTTAAATATTGTGCGATAAACACAATGCTAGAGCTCCAACGCGGTAGCCTAAAGTAAGTGTTGGGGTCACGTTTAAGTTTAGGCACTAGTAAATTTTCTGTTTAGTTAAAGGTGTTTTTTTCTATTTCTAGCCGTTCTTATAAAACGTGGGTCATTGTGGCGTAAATATTACATGAAATCTTCATCTTAAAAGGTACTTTATTTCATTGTTTATCCTTAGTAATTAGTCTTAAATTGTAAAATTTCTTTTAATTGGCCATTTTCACATTTGCTATTTGTGTGAATTTTTTTTCTTTTGTATTCACATTGTAATTGAAAAAAAAACCAATAAAAGTAGAAGTGTAAGAGAATATCGACCCGAAAAAAATGTTTTAGTGGTTGACTTTAAAGTAAGTTGCTTATTTTAATCGTTCAAAACTTAGTTCGCTTTCCGATTTTTTTTTGTTGAGTGCGTCGACCGATATAGTTTTATGTGCACAGTTATCATTTAATCGTACCCTGGTTTTCGCAACGAAATGTTCAAGTCAATAAACGAATTGTTCTATATTTCATTATCTAGATTCTAGTCCGGTCTTCTAAACCTGGGTGAGCATTTTAAATTGATAACCGTGTATTTTGATTGGTTGACTTGACGAAATTCGCTTTTGACTTCTGTATTTGAAGATGAACTAATATTGATACTCCTTTAATTATAGTTTTAGTAACAGCACAATTTATGGTTTCCATTTAGTGTAGGGTTCATTATGTTTTATTTCGTAAGTGGATGTGTATCTAATTATAATATTTGTGCAAATACTTACTTGTTTTTATTAATTGCAGAATTGTATAAAAATATAATTGGCAGACACTTCAATATTTAATGTGGACTGACTTTTATTGTACCAAACTTCATAGCTTGTTTATGCTTACCGCACATTATTTTTTGAAGTGTCTGCTTTAGTTAAAGACCAGTACTAATCGGTTTTATGTGAACAGGCGGAGTGCCTGGGGTGCTGTGCAGTGCAGACCAGTAGCAGTGCAGAGCGAGAAGGGGGAGATAACGAGAGCCCGTGGCCTTTGCTGTAGTGGTGCGGCCAATCTCCTGTAGCTGCCTGCAGTTTCATGTGCAGACTTGCCAGACCAACAGTCTGTTTTGTGATTGTTGCTCAATTACAAAACAAATACTGCTCGCATACATACTAAAGGGCAACTATTTTTCACCAACAAAATTTTTGGCATTCAGTTTGCCAAATCCTTTACTGTTTTTTCCATTGATATTGATTGTAAATTACATAAAAAACATTTTTTGCATAAAATTACAAGTAAAAGGGTGGTAATTGCTTAACCCACTTACGAATGGTTTCCATTTTTTCTAGAGGAAGTCATTACTCTTTTTACTACTTTTTTTCCAACCAAATCAAAGTAATATAACTTCACTTGTATTACATTCAGGTTGTGGAAAATAGTACCATTGTATGGAAAAGTTTAATAATAATAATAGCAGACATGTTACAAATAATCTATGAAGTCATTTGGACTACCTACCCTTTCCGATCTTGTAAAAATTTTTCCCCTTAACACCTAATTTCGGATCTCTTCAAAGTTAGCACCTTAGACGCTAAAATAACTAATCCAGACCTAGTTTTTGAAAATTTCAGAAAACATTATCTTCACCTATACCTATTCACTATACATTTATAAGAAATGTTACAATCAATCTCAATGAACAAAACTTTTCACAAACTTAAAAACCTTGCAATGTTATAGTTAATTTCCTTTTTGAAAACTGCAATACTGTAGCCATTAGGTTACTGGGCTCGAAAAAAACTTGCAGTTCGTTAGCGTTTCAAGTAACGCTCTTGAATCACTAACATCTTAAGAAATAATTTGGTACAACAGTACCTTCAAAACTGACCTTGAGGGGTAATAATTGAACATAATTAATAATTCGATAACAGATTTGTGTAATGGTTTGTCCCTTTTTAGTTCTCACATAAAAGATCATGCTGATCAAATTTCGATTTAATTGATCCAACTAACTTCATAATTTTTTTTATTTTACTAAGATAGTTCTTACATACTCTTTTGTAAAACTTTACAATTTGGCATCCTATACAATTATTATCATATTAGATCATTAAGAAATAGCCAATAGAAATAAGTTTATGGTGCGTCGCTAACCGAGCCACCATACATTTGTTTGTATTGGTTATTTCTTAATGATAACGATAGTGAACTAATGATAATGATTGTATAAACCACCATTAAAGGAATTTAATCGTAAATTTTAGGAAGTATACTCATGTATTGATAATTTGGTTGCACGCTTATCGTTGGGATTTTTAATTTTCCTATGGAGGATGTAGGTGATTTTAATGGGCGAACAAAGGAGCGAAACGTAAATCTTTCGCAAATTACTCGAGAATTGAAAACTTTGGTTGAGGTAACCACAACATTTTTCCACCACTATTTCTTTGCATATTCTGTATACAGGATATTACTCGTATTTCACAAGGACCATTAATTTTGCTGTGATGCATCTCTAAAATGTTCAGTTGAACCAAAACATTACTATGCAACAGCTATGACTCGAAATAGACAGATCCTAACAATGTGGGTGTCTAAATTCAAATTGAAAATGTGTATTTTTGAAATTTTTTTTTAAATCAATAACCCTCAAAGGCCAAGGGATGATCGATTTTACTGATTGTCACTTATAAATCGCCAATGGATTTAAATAGGGTGGATTAACAACAAATGTATTGATTATAAGCCAAAAATTAACCTTTTGATTAAAATAAATAAATAAACCATGCAACATGTTACATCATTGAAAAGAGTAAAAAAAATCTACCAAATAAGCATAATGACAGGGTACGCTGTTTTTCGTTGCATATTTTTTTTCTAAAATAAGAACTGAATACTGCCTCATTATGAGAAATAATATTATAAACCCGGTTTTATATAATCGCCCTTTTGCGACAATTTGTTCAATTTACAACCATTACAGTCCCTGAAACATGATGTTTCAATTTTTCATTGAATGTCATAATACCTAAATTACACAAAAATAAGCGCGGTTTGGCCTACGACCGATCTTCCTCTTAGCTTGAATATAGCAAGCTAAGCTTACATTCAACATTGATTAACATATGCAGATTTTTAAGTTCAACTGAGCGTTTTTAGAAATTGTAGCATTAGAATAAGTGGTTCACTAGGGAGTTCTCAATTTATAAAAGATAATTTAGCTGTGCTATTGTCTAAAAGAAAAATCAAAATCCGCATCTTTAATTGGAGGTATAAAGGTGGTTTGTTGACAGTTTAGTGATTATTTACTTGATTAAGGAATGTGAGCGTTCAGTCATATTGTTTGATTTGTGAATTCGGTTCGATTGTATGAAATCAACTTATAGTTTGGTGTTGAACCAAATGAATGGGTGCATGTACAACTTTACCAAAGACTCCATAATTCGGATGGTACTGTAAATATTCATCTTTATGTTCTGTTCAGTTTTTTGCTCAACATTGCCAGTGCAAAAATCTGTTCCTCTGCATAGCCAGAAAGTTGACACTTTTCTTTTAGATAGTTTATTGTGATCTAGGTAGTCATTTTTGTTTGGACAATTTTCCATGTTGTGACATTTGGATTCCCTCTTCTTCCGATTTCCAAAAGGGGATGTGTCGTTTCTTAGTATACCTTTTTGTTTACGTGATTGTCGAAATAGACTCGATGTGTGGTAAGTATGCAGGTACATGTTACTAAATACTTTTCTGCAATCTACACTAATCTTTATTTATTTTCAGGTTCACACCAATAAACTATCTTGCTTATTTGTATTTTAAACTGAATAAATGTAAACAAAACAATCGTTTTTTATTTGTTAATTTAAAAAAAGTTAATTAGAAACCACTACTGTGTGGGCATTGCTATAGTGACAGTATTGGGACAGTGGCTACAAGCATATAGTGTACTACAGTTATGCTACAAGTTATAATAATCCGCCATATTGGGGCTAAACAATTATTTGTAAGATCAATCAAAAGAGTATAGGTATAACAATATACAATGATATACCTTGTACTTTTTGGATCAATAATACCTTGTAATTCAAAAATAAATATACGGGAAGCGGTATAAATATAAAATATAATGCAATATTTAAAATGTACATATAAAGATTACCATTAATCATTAAATTGTGCTGTCACTTAGTCCCTCGTCGCGTTTTTCTCCCAGGATAAAAATGTGTCACTTTATTCCCTTAAATGCAAGACAAAACACATTGATTTAGTGCACGGAATACAATATTCGTTGTTATCAATGTTACAATTTAAACCAATTCAAGGGTATTTATGATCACAATTGAGCAGCATAATCATCTCTTCGTAATTCATTTCTACTGACTTTAAAACTGTCGTAGAACCGAATGTCCATAATAAACATTTTATCCTAAGCAGCACCTTTGTTCATAGAAAGAAAAAACCGTGTAAACTCCTATACCAAAATATAGAAATTGAGCTCGGTTGTCGCCAGTTCTAAATTGAGTCGCGTCTGTAGGTATTGCCAGCAACCATTTGGCACTAAATGTTTGAGCGATCTCTTAATAATCGCATAAATAAATGTTTATTTTTTAGAGGAACGGTTAGTTTTATGATAAAAATAGGTCAGACAAAAATTGTAGATCATGCAATTATCTACAAAAATTGTTCTTACACTTTTTCCCCCAAGATTCAGTATTTCTGAGAAAAGCGATTCTAAAATTGACTAAAGCTGTATTCCCCATAATATGCGTGACTACGCTCCCTATGACAAATAATATAGTCAAACTATTAGTCTGTGTGACTAATATACATTAATATTGAATGATAAGTGCCCGTCTTTCTGCTTTTTTTTGTTATGGTCCCAACAAAATATGCCAACCTTCTCTCGTATTGAAAACATGTAGGACGTCGATTATCCGAACTAATTGGAACTGGTATGGTAGTGCTTCGGATAATCAAAAGTTTGGTTAATAAAACAGTAGTTTCAAAATACAATCCTGTATGAAACAGGATGAAAAAAAATGAGTGCAAATTTGAATCAACTCTTATTACGTTTTAAATTAAATAAACGGTGTAGTAAAATGACTTAAAACAAATAAAATAAGTACCTAGGTAAGTACAGTTAAGGATAACAGTATCAAATACCGCACAACAATGCATAATGTTATTTGTGTATGTATTTGTTAATTAAGAGCAGATGCTTGACTTACATTAATTATAATTAATTGCATTGATCCTTACATCGACGACAAAACACCTGATGTATCACTATTTGAACAATTTACGTCGAATCAGGAAGAAGAAGACGAAGAAAAACAAGAAGTTTATGGAGAAAGAGAATACGAAAAAGAAGAATAAACTGAATGAGAAGACCTATTATTCTACTAAGATTAAATAAAATACACCGTGGAGGCCTACTGGGGAAACCACGTTAAAAAAAACGCGTCAAGTACACTACCTAATTTTAGAATCGCTTTTTCTCAGTACTGAATCCGAGGAGAAAAAGTGTAAGGACATTTTTTGTATATAATTGCATGATCTACAATTTTTATCTGAACTATTTTTATCTTAAAATTAATCGTTTCGCTAAACAATCCAGAAAACCCATTTTTGCGAACCTTGAATAAATTTTTTTGGGCACATGGGATCGATGGGGACTTTTCACAATTTCATTATAATGGTATCTCTAACGTTCATGTAAATTAGAAAACGTACCCTGCAACGAGACTGTTCACTCCAAACGGTGGTGGTGAAATACTGGTGGGTTACGTTATATCGCTCTAATTGGAGGGTGTTGTTTTTTTTCTTGGGTACTTCTTGTTCTCCCCTGTCAGTTTTTTTATAAATCTGCCGTCAAGAAATGGCAAAGGGTGCAAAAATACAACAGCAACGGCACCGCGATGCATTTGTAGGTGGGGCTTGAAGCGCGCTTGTGACGTCATCCACGCTTCTGGACGCGTCACGAAATTCAAACTTCTTTCCCTAATTTTGAGAAAACGCTTGCTTGTTTTGAAAAAATTCTTTCATTTACATGCTCTGTGATCATTCGTGCATCATATTAGGTATATGAAAATTTATAGAACTTACATTTTTTGCATTCTCCCTATTGGGCGCAAGCTTGTTTAAAACCCAAAACAAGAGAGAGAAAACAAATAAAACAGTGTAATTGGTGCTAGTTGAAAACTTTTTATCAATTCCCATGATATAATATAAAGATGAAAAAACCAAACAAATAATAAGTGAGACTGGTGCACCTTGGGAGCAATTTTTTCTCACAAGAACCCTATTGAACATGAGGTGGATTGGGCACATCTAAGAGGTGGGGGCTGGCTTTTGGGCATATGCTTATCAATCTTGCAGTATGATTGTTATAATTAGATGTGACTGAAGTAAATATATAAATCAGTCAACCCAGAAACAGTAGAGAATTGCAACAATATTTTTATTTGTTATTATGAATGACATTAATAGTAACGTTAGTACAATTGTTAAAAATCAATTTTGGTAAGTGTTTCAAATTGTACTCAAAACTGACATTACTCTGATTTTCATATAATTGCGTTTTCGAGCTTGATGGCGATATGGAAGTTTGGGCATTATTTGCAGCTGCCACATACTTATTTTCATTAAATTCGTCATACTTAATGTCTAAGGGGTCATCATCCATCACACACTCCTCGTAGATATTTTCGACTTTTCTTACAACTGCTGCATCCTCGACTAAGTCCGCAGTCGGCTTGCAACTGATCAATTCGCATGATTCGGCAGATTTCTTTCGGTTAGCTCGCGAAGATGCCAAGTACTCATCTGAATCGACCAGGACCGTCGCACACGACTTGCGAAAATTATGGCCGGTGTACAACTCTGGATTTGGCAGTTTTAAATATTTTGCAATTACTTTACCCATAGCCCCGAACTTATTGATACCCACTCTCATTGTGCCACATCTGCCGTTGCGGTAATTTAAAAAGAAACTAGAGTCGGTAATGTTATCCGGTCGCAGATCTGCGTACTTCTTAAAGAACTCGTAGTGATAGCCAGTTATAGTGAAAGTTCGTAAGAATTTCGTGCGCGTATTGGGAATTGTAACTATAACGGCCGATCCTAGATCGTTTATGTTTGACATTGTCATTTGATGCAACTCATGCCTGCGACAACCGCCCATTACGCCCATAATTAAGGCGACCTGTAAAAAATTAGTTACATTTTTTCAAGGTCTCTAAGGTGTACCTTTGCCAAAAGATACTGGTCATCGGGAGCTTGCGTGATAAATTTGTTAATGTCTTGCGAGGTGAATGTTTTCCACTTTTGAGGTTGATAGCCGCTCGATTGTTGTTTGAGAAATGCCTTTAATTTTAAATAATTCGAAATATCCACATTGTGATTAATGTTAACAGTCGTCCTCAACATTGAATAGTGCCCCCATAGCGTCGACGATTTACATTTATTCGACATTTCTTTAAAATAATCTACGAAGATATTTTCGCTACAGGAGGAAGAGTTGTAATGGTCTTTTTGCCAATCCATGAACCATTTATATGCCTTTTCATACTTCGCTTTGGAAAGTTCAGGTAGAGACTCTGGTAGAGAATTAAACTCTACTTTTAGAAGATGGGGTGGTTTAAATTCGGATTCATAGTCACTGTCACTTTCCATTTTTAAAGGTGCACTTAAATACAATAAGTTCTCACAATGTAGGAATGTGACAATCTATTTTAAGTCACCCGTTGGAAATAATTGTGCACAGCTTTCTCACATGCGCCTGCCGTTGCAAAGAAACGATTTTGCATGTTACGCATGCGTAGTGCGTACTATTATTTCTATTTTTAATATACCAGTGCACAACAAAAGTGGCGGTTATGTTACTCCAAAAATTCTATTAACATTGATAAGACCCTACCGGCCTACCTTACCTCTGATATATTGAAAAAAACTGCGAATAGGAAAAAATGTCGAGGTTGAGATGAAAGACTAATGCAATGGAGAATGCTCAGTCACAAACGTGAGCAAAAGTGGTCTCTAGCCGTGACTAAGTTATCGCGTTCATTATTGCATCCGTTACCGTTAGCGTCTCCCTTCCAGTGGCGTATCGATATGGATAATTGGGATTTAAAATATACGGACCACGAGCTACATGAAATTAATAAAAATGGTTAGAGGCATCGAATAAGCACTTTGAATATAATGCTTCAGTAAACTACAATAAATATGTAGTTATTAAATTATTAAATATTATTAAATTAGTAAATTGTAAGTCTCCTCACACCTTTAAACTTAAGCTATATATGATAAACTAATGGAGTTACAGAACATGTAATTATGCGGGCGGTGAAAACCAGCATGCTGACCTGTCCCCTTTTGAGATATAGGTATGTTCTACAATTGCATTATTTTGCATCTTAATAAATGATATTATTATAATTACTATATTGCCGTAGACGAGAGAAAGATCACGAAAATTGTGGGATATAACCGAATAAGTTGTTTTTAGCTAAGTAATAATAAAGTTTTACTTGTGCTTCTATAGTTCCTGCAAAAAGAAGGGTGTGAGATTCGAGTGGCTCTGATGAAGTGATATAAACACCTTCATTCAGTCTCCCGAAAAGTCTCCGTTCTTTAAAAAAAATTCAGCAAGCCCAGGCCGATCTATACTGCACATATCATGAGCTAAAAGCTCAGAAATTTTAACTTACTTATTACTAATTTGTAGATTGCATGAAACAAAATTTAATTGATTGTTTAATGAAAAAACAAATTCAATAGATATACTTTTATTGCTTATCCAAAACAAAATTAAACAATAGAAAATGCACGTTATTTATAATACATGTGGTCATATATGGGTGATGTAGAAATACATAAATTAGTTTGGTTATTTAAAACATTGTTTATAGTATTTTTATTTGACCTCTCATAAGAATTTTTTCTTTTTATATTTTCACGCTTCCTTTTTGTAGAAGAAAATCGCAATTGAGGCTCAATATTGTTGTTTTGTAATATTTGCTTTTCATTATATTTCGGCAATATTATTAACTTATTTAGTATTTTCAAATGGTAAGCAATTTGTCGAATAACCTCATCATTCAATGTTTCAAATTCACATTGCTGCAACTTATAACATACTAAATTAATCATACTGTTTAATTTTAAATTATCAGTATCAGACTCATTGCTTTGAGATGTGGAAGTTACACGTCTGTTATAATTATCAACATTTTTTGCAATATTGTTGAAAGTGTTATAATGGATATAGTGTATATGTTTACATATAATAAATGTTTCCTCAAAATCTTGACAACTACAAGAATACATATGTTTGCATATATTACAAGCTGAACAATATTCTTCACAACATTTAGTATCAGATAGTTTAATTACAGTGTAAAAATCGCCTGACTCTTTAAATATTTTCCAATATTTCTCATAAGTCTCAATGTTATAATTAAGGGTCAATGCTTCTACATGTCTCTCAAATATATATAACACTAACTCTGGGTTGTCTTCTAAATTATTTGTACTGCATTCTTTAACCGATAAATCTACAAAGATTGCATCGTTTACATGGCTTTCCACATCACTATCTTTGATGTTGAAACTGCCCTTAATATTGCAGATATCTTTGCGAGTTAATAGGTCTAGCCTTTTTAACTCTTTTTCTAAACCATCTTGTGTTTTTTCCAAGATCCTACAATTTGACAAATATAAATACACATAAACTGGCAATCCCTAAAAGCTGTTTTACATTAATTATAAGATGTATAACTTACTTTTCCGAAGTAACACCACTAATTAGTTTCAAGGCGACTTCTTCACGATCTTGAACTGAAAGTCTTACGTGTTTTAAATCCAATGTGTGACCATAGTGTGTTTTTTGCCATTGTATCAGTATATCATTTCCACCTTTCTTGATTAGTTTAATTTGGCTAGTACAACAAGATGACATTTTACATGAGCCCTTACTTTTTAGTAATCGTTGATATTGTTTATTTTTGTCTCTCGGTCCTTTTCCTAAAAACAGTTAGGTAATAGATATTTTGCATGCGTTTAAATACTGTATTATTACCTACCTGTAAAACTTCGATTACAATTATAGTACATCGTAAAACCAACTGCACTATTAACTTTTGATTTAAATATGTAGCTGCATTTAGTTTCTTTCTCAATTGAGGTTTTCCAGGACTGAAATTCTGAAATTGGGAAAAAAGTAATGAGAAACCCTTGGAAAAACCATTATTCCTACATTTCCTACAAAGAAACTACAATCTATTTTCCTACATTCTACATACCATCCATATCCCTTAATGAAAGTTCAATGTAATCAAATGTTTTACTGTGTTCTTCTGTTAGATGAGTAATTAATGCTTTATTTTGCTGAAATGATTTATTGCAGTCATCTTCCAAGCATTTACACTTCCACACACTGGTGTCATATGAGGCAACTTTTGGTTTCATTTTATGTACCTCACGTATATGTCTATTCAAACTAGATCGTTTTGAAAATAATTTACTGCACTGTTCACATTTAACTGGCATGTTGTAACATTTCAAAATCATAAATAAACCACCAAAAACTTCACAAAATCAAAAGTGACCTCTGGCTGTGACTAAGTTATCGGAAGCGGAACAGTTTATAGTTTCATTTCCAGGGGCGTATCAAAAAAAAATGTTCCACATATTTGGGATTAAAAATATAAAAAAGGACACATTTTACATATACATTAAATCAAACACCGCGTCGTGTGAGCCCTCTCTTTACAATATTTTCCATAACAACCATTTGGTCGGATCAAGCTTTGATAACTCAAATTAAAAAAAAGATGCGCAATTAAGAAATGCTTTAAAGAAAACCAGAAAATTCTTATTACTTCCGAAGATATCACAAAAAGTAGCAGGTAAACTTCAAGAGGTAACATATAGGTTAAAAACAAGTTTTGGGAATTATGGGTCAGGTAAGCAGGTACCTAAGATTCTAAGAAAGGGTGAAATCCACAGGATGTGACTCATCTTTGATGCAATAAAGTCCTTTTGTTAAAAGCAAGATGGAAAATTACATGGCCTTGTAGGCAAATTCAACTAAAAACAAGATATGTGGAAATTATTGAATCGACACTCATTTATCGCACATAGATTCTAAACTGAAGAGCTTTGATTAGCGTAATCCCGCTCCTGCAAGATAGGTAACCCGCCCCTGGTTTCGGGGTTTCGGGCCTACAGTTGAATGTCGAAGATAATCACGGAATTAGGTGTCGTAGCTCAATTTTGACTAGTTTTTACCACCTCCGTGCTGCTTCATTCACGGACAAAATTCTTAGTTACAAACAACAAGTCAGTACATACATTAAACGAATCGGTAATTTCCACATATTAAAATAAACTGATTAAAACTTATATGAATGTTACTTCAGGGACAAGACCAAGTAATTAACATCAATAAACATAAATTAAGAAAGCATTACACCAAAAACGTAAACATTTACAAACAATAGCATAACGGTATCACATATGTGATTCTGCATTGCGGTTAAACCAAGTAAATTTCAAAAACAAAGATTCAAACACACAAAAAATATAAAATATGACACACAAAACACAAATACGATATATAGAAATGCAAAAATTACTACCTGCATTAAATAACACAAAATAACAACAAACATTTATGGAGCGACGCGTTCACGCCCGCCATTCAAGACAACATGCCAAACGTAACCCCCTTTCGTGCATTCTAGATGGCGCAGGCAGCTTTTTCCCACTAAGGTATACTTTAAAAAGCCATGACTTTTGTTGTTTTATGAATTGCTACTCATAACAGAAACATTAAAATTTATTTTTAAATTTGCAGGTTTACCAAAAGCTTAATAAAAAGAGTTTTGTATGCATCTTTTAATTCTGAACAACTTTAAACTCTAGTTTTTTCGGTAAAATGTACAGGAAGGCAAGATATTGCATAAAACTAATTTCCCATGTTAAATCCCTACCCGGTATATGTTATGGATCGAACAGTTGTTAAACCATAAAAAAAAGCATATTACAGAAATTTAACATGCATTGTTTTCTGTGGTCTAATGCAATAAGAATAATTAATAATAATGAACAATAATTCAGTTGAGTTTGCAAAGTGCACGTTATTCATAATACATGTGGTCATATATGGGTGACGTAGAAACACATAAATTAGTTTGGTTATTTAAAACATTGTTTATAGTAGTTGACCTTTCATAAGTATTTTTTCTTTTTACATTTTTACGCTTCCTTTTTGTAGAAGAAAATCGCAATTGAGGCTCAATAATTACATTGTTGTTTTGTAATATTTGCTTTTCATTATATTTCGGCAATATTATTAACTTATTTAGCATTTTCAAATGGTAAGCAATTTGTTGAATAACCTCATCATTCAATGTTTCAAATTCACATTGCTGCAACTTATAACATACTTTATTAATCATTTTGTTTAATTTTAAATTTTGAGCATCAGACTTATTGCTTTGAGGTATGGAAGTTACGCCGACATTGTTCTCTTTCACATCGTTATAATTATCAACATTTTCTCCAATACTGTTGACAGTGTTACAATGGATATAGTGTACATGTTTACATATAATAGTTTCCTCAAAATCTTGACAAGTACAAGAATACATATGTTTGCATATATTACAAGCTGGACAATATTCTTCACAACATTTTGAGTCAGATAGTTTAATTACAGTGTAAAAATCGCCAGACTCTTGAAATATTTTCCAATATTTCTCATAAGTCTCAATGTTATAATTGAGAGCCAATGCCTCTATATGTCTCTCAAATATATATAACAATAACTCTGGGTTGTCTTCTGAATCATTTGTACTGTATTCTTGAACCGATAAATCTACAGAGATTGCATCGTTTACAAGTCTTTCCCCATCACTATCTTTGATATTGAATCTCTCCTTAATATTCCAGATATCTTTGCGAGTTAATAGGTCTAGTCTTTTTAATTCCTTTTCTAAACCATTTTGTATTTCTTCTAAGATCCTACAATTTGACAAACATAAATACACTGACAATCCCTAAAAAGTTTTTCACATTTATAAGATGTATAACTTACTTTTCCGAAGTAACACCACTAATTAGTTTCAAGGCAACTTCTTCACGATCTTGAATTGAAAGTCTTATGTGTTTTAAATCAAATGTGTGACCATAGTGTGTTTTTTGCCATTGTATCAGTATATCACTTCCACCTTTCTTTGTTACTTTAATTTGGCTAGTACAATAAGATGACATTTTACATGAGCCCTTACTTTTTAGTAATCGTTTATATTGTTTATTTTTGTCTCTCGGTCCTTTTCCTAAAAACAGTTAATAAATATTTTGCATGCGTTTAAATACCGTATTATTACATACCTGCAAAACTTCGATTACAATTATAGTACATCGTAAAACCAACTGCACTATTAATTTTGGATTTAAATATGTAGCTGCATTTCGTTTCTTTCTCAATTGAGGATTTCCAGGACTGAAATTCTGAAATTAAGAAAAAAGTAAACAATTCCTACAAAGAAACTACAATCTATTTTGCTACATACCATCCATATCCTTTAATGAAATTTCAGTGTAATCAAATGTCTTATTATGTTCTTCTGTTAGATGAGTGATTAGTGCATTATTTCTCGGAAATGATTTATTGCAGTCATCTTCCAAGCACTTACACTTCCACACACTGGTGTTATCTGAGGCAGGTTTCATTTTATGTACCTTACGAATATGTCTATTCATATTATAAAGATTTGAAAACATTTTATTGCATTGTTCACATTTAACTGGCATGTTACTTAACACTTCAAAACCTGAAACCATAAATAAACCACCAAAACTTTATTGATTAATGGCTAAACCCCGGCTAAACTAAAATCAAAATATAGGTTATAGGTCCGTGGCTGTGGCACAGCTTACTTATAAGTAAGCTGTGGCTGTGGCCTGTGACTTAAGTTATCGGAAGCGGAAAATTTTCGTTAGGTACCATTAGCGTCTCAAGTCATTTCCATGGGCGTATCGATAAAAATGTTGGCCACAAATTTGGATATTTGGGATTAAAAATTTAAAAAAGGATACATTTTACATATACAAAAACACCGCGTCGCGTGTCGCCTCCATTTACACTATTTTGCAAACTTTAGCACACGAATTACAACCAGCATAATCGTGCAAGTATTTAAAATTATTGTCATAATCGACCGCTTCTCATTTTTCATCGCCCGTTACTTTATTCATTGCTTTGCACAGGGAGATCAATAATCATATGCTGCGCCGCTCTTATAAAATATCACATTAGTAATCATTTGCCGCAACCAGGTATATGTGCACCAATACAAAACATAACCTATAATGTTTATTACCTTCATCTTTTTCAAAACGGCGTTTTTAAAGACTACCAGTTTCTTTTGAATATTTACAAGGTGGGTAAATTACTAATAAATTATAAACAAACGTTTTTTTTAGTTGTAGCGTGTAAAAGGTAATAGGTTTACTCTGACATGCCTTTTACTTTAGAAGAGAATAAGATGCATTTGCAGTCCTGTTTCCGTAATCTAGACGAAAATTGAGTTTGAGAGTACTCGATACGTTTGTGTATACAGGAGTTTCGAAAAACCTCTTCATCAAAGTCCGAAAAAGCCGCTACGACAAACGGGTATCTCATACGGAACGTGTCACACCACTGTCTGGAGAAAATTGTACTTCTATCGTTTAAAGTAACCGTGCTACAAGAACTCATCGTTCAGATTTACAAAGCCGTCTAAATTATATGCATGCAATTGGTTTAATGCAAATTTACGAGATTGCAACGTATTCGGAATCGCTTACACACTATTGCCAAATTACGAACAGGAAAGCTGCCGTTTGAAACATGACGCAACAGTAGTTACATTCCGTCTTGGAAAACATGAAGAAAAGAGTGAATCCCTGTCTTAATAATGGTGGCGAGCACTTCGAACAGTTGTTATAGTGTGCATGTAATTTACGCAATTACTTCAATATTAACGAGTTGTAAAAGAAATAAAATCATTTCAATTTTTGTAGTAATTTGCTATTTGTGTAGTTTCACATAATTTGGACATTCACAAGGTGCTCAAATCGTTCATTTAGATTAAATATGGTTAAGGCCGATTCTCACTTTCGTGCAAAGAACCGGCTCGGCAACGGTACGGCACAGACTCGGCACGGGCAAAGTTTTTTGAGTTCAATTCACACTGCGACACGCTTGCCGCAGGTAAGCAGTTTCTACGTGAGTTTCAACTGTGGAAATGTTCGAAACTTCCACGTTAATTAAAATAGGTCTAATATTAGATGACGAAGAACAAGAAAGTACATATTGCAGAAAAATAAAAATACGTTTTTGTGTATAAAAATGCATAAGAAGTATCTTTTATGACCGAAATCATTCTCTCGGACACATTCAATCAGCATCTCATCTTGTTCCGCTGAAAAAGTGTTCCTTTGCTGACCCTTCAACCTTTCTTGTACTATGAAAACTGAACTAAAGTCGGTGACCTGCACAGATTGTATTCACACTTGTCGGAACGTGCACGGTACATGCCCGGCAAATATTGTTTCAGAAGAACACCGCGTGCAAAGGCCGTAGCTTGCCGAGTCGTTGCTCGCATAGTGTGAATTACACCCCAAAAAATTCATAAGATTCAATAATATAGATATTTTGCCGAGTCGATGCCTTGCCTGTGCCGAGTACGTGCCTTGCACGAAAGTGAGAATCGACCTTTAAACGTTAAAAGTTTACTTTGGTTTGAAGTTTAAGGTTATGTTTTAGTATTGGTGCACCACGCTTGTTGCGGCAAATGATTACTAACGTCATAATTTCTTGAAGCGGCGCAGCCACTCAATATTGATCGCACTGTACTTAACTTGAGAACCAACAGCTGTTTATAATTTAGGCATTGATTATACACACAACTGTATAATCAATGCTTCAGGCAGTTTGCGGACTAATTTTGGTTTAAATCTGCGAGTCTTATTTCTTATCGTAGGTTTAAATATATAACTCATAGCTGCATTTAGTTTCTTTCTCAATCGAGGATTTTCAAAAATATTATGAAAAAAGAATGAAAAACAATTATTCCGTACATTTCAGTGCATAGGTACCATCCATCCATATTCCACACACTTGTGACATGGGCAAATGAGAGAGCTTTTGATTTCATTTTATGTACATTACGAATATGTTATTCCTTATTCATATTAATTGGGTTGTAAACAATTGCATTTTGCACATTTAACATTACAGTTTAAATCTAACTGCATTTTTAACGATTTGCAACTTTGACATTTCTTTCGCATGCGCAGTGTATGGATCGACCTGGGTCATTTAGACAGACGTCCTTTGAATTGTCAAATTTACGCAAAACAGAAACTGGAATAATTTTTTTTGTGTATTTACAACACCCAACTCACTACAATAACGTCATTACTCACAAGTGATTTAATTTTAGTTAGCATGGATTAATTTCAATTTCTGTAACGTGTGTCGCGTAAATTGAGTACACAATCCAATTTGTTTACTTTTATCTTCCCGTACGACCTTGTCATATAAAAATAAAGGAAAACGAAGAATTTGCATTTTTGTAGTGGAATCTGCTTAAAAACCAGTTTCTTGGTGTTGAAAGTGTATTACTTTTCCTGTTGACAATGGTCGCTGAAAATTTTTAGTTTGTGGACAGTGTCGTGCTTACTTAGTGTCGTTATTATGGTTGAAATTGGACTTATTCCTCTGTTATGGCTGAGGACACCTCAAGGCCCCCTCAGAAGCAGTACGATTACCTACTAAAATTTCTTCTCGTTGGAGACAGTGATGTAGGCAAGCAAGAAATTCTTAGCGAGCTTGACGATGGCTCATCGGAGTCTCCTTTTTGTAGCGGCAATGGTAAAGTCGACGGTCTCATTTAAAATTGTCTCGTTTACACTGTTTCATTATCCTAGCATATAAGACCACTACGATTTTATTAGACGGTAAACGGGTTAAACTGCAACTGTGGGATACCTCGGGACAAGGCCGTTTTTGTACAATAATACGCTCGTATTCTCGAGGGGCACAAGGCGTCCTTCTAGTGTACGACATCACCAACCGCTGGTCGTTTGACGGATTGGATCGCTGGCTAAAGGAGGTTGACGAAGTGCGTACCGAACTTTCTAATTTTTATTCGTGCAAAATTAATATTTATATTTTTGACCTAATATTCAAATGAAATTCTTTTCAGCATGCGCCCGGCGTTCCGAAAGTTTTAATCGGCAACCGGTTGCACCTGGCGTTCAAACGGGAGGTCGGAGAGCGTGATGCCGAAGTGTACGCCAACAAGCATAGTATGGCATTTTTCGAAGTCTCGCCGTTGTGCAATTTTAACGTCGTCGAAAGTTTTTGCGAGCTGTCACGGATGGCTTTACAGCGTAACGGCATGGAGAGACTTTGGCGCTCGAACAAAGGTATTTTAATCATCTTTAAGATTCATCTACTTTGCTGTACCGGGTGACCCAATAAGGCTGTTCCTCGGCCATATCTCGAGAACCGTTCGTCGTATGACTTAGGGGTAAAAAAAATTATTAGGTAAAACGGTCATGAAGAATCGCTGGAAAATATTTTAAGTTCTAAAAATGACCATCAGAGGGCGTAACTCCCATCTTAAATGTTAAAATTGCATTTTCTTTAAATTTCGCATAATAAACTAAACATTCTTTTTTGACATTTTTAAAGAGAACCGGTTTATCTATCATTTTCTTAAAAACAAAAACTCAGTTATTTCAAAAAGAAAGATGGTGTGGGGCGTTCAATTGTTTTTTCAATAACCTGCTTTAACCGTTTGACCGATTTTAACAAATTTGGTATCGTTTAAAAGAGCATTCCTTGGGCAATGAGAATCAACCAAAATATAGAAAATTTAGTTGAATCCTTCTCCGCCAGGGGGCTAGTTTTGACACTATGATCCAACATTCTAAAAAAATCAAAAAAATCAAATGGAATGATATGACTTTTTCTTTATGAAAAAGTAGCCAAATAACCCAGAGAGGCCAGTGAAAACCGTTTTTTAAAATCTCGTGCCTAACCTCAAATGTTGGGAAAATGAGATTAATTAATTGATTAATAAAAAGGCTTAAATTGTATCTTAAATTTACTTTTTACGTATTTCCGGTATTTGTCGATGGCGCGAAAGAAAAGCACCCTACACTTTTAGGTAGACCTTGGAAAATTAAACAAAAGAAACACGATGCATTATAAAATAATAACATCCGTAATTTGTAAATTATTCTGCTGTGTTTACATTTAGAAAGTGCAGTTTTTTGAATTTGTAATATTTTCTAAAATGCCGATTTAACCAAGAAGTATTTAATATGCTGGCGATATATTGCGAGTATTTTCAAAATGCTACCATCGCTGCTCACATCTTCTATTTGCGTTATTCGAATCGACCACGAACCATCGCCGCCAACATATTAAATGCTTCTTGGTTAGAAATCAGCATTTTAGAATAGATTACAAATTCAAAAAATTGCACAGCACAGCAGAATAATTTACAAATTACGGCTGTTATTATTTTATAATGCATCGTATTTCATTTGTTTAATTTTCCAAGGCTTACCTAAACGTGCAGGGTCCTTTTCCAAACAATCTTTCGCGCCATCTACAAATACGGGAAATACGTCAAAAGTAAATTTAAAATACAATTTAAGCATTTTAATTAATTAGTTAATCTCATTTTTCCAATATTTGTGATTAGGAACGAAATTTTGAAAAACGGTTTTCACTGGCCTCTTTGGGTTATTTGGCTACATTTTCTTTTGGCTACTTTTTCATAAAGAAAAAGTCGTATCATTCCATTTGATTTTTTGGATTTTTTTAGAAAGTTGGATCATAGTGTCAAAACTAGCCCCCTGGCGGAGAAGGATTCAACTAAATTAACTATATTTTGGTTGATTCTTGTTGCCCAAGGAATACTCTTTTCAACGATACCAAATTTGTTACAATCGGTTAAACGGTTAAGAAGTTAAAGCAGCTTATTTAAAAAACAATTGAACGCCCCATGCCATCTTTGTTTTTGAAATAACTGAGTTTTTGTTTTTACGAAAATGATAGCTTTAAAAATGTGAAAAAAGAATGTTTAGTTTATTATGCGAAATTGAAAGCAAATGCAAAAGTGTTTTTAGAACTTAAAATGTTTTCCAGCGATTCTTCATGACCGATTTACCCAATAATTTTTTTTACCCCTAAGTCATACAACGAACGGTTCCCGAGATATGGCCGAGAAACAGTCTTATTGGGTCACCCGGTACAGGGTGTCTTCATTTTAATGTCTGATACGAAAGACATTTATAGTGGTAAGAATATTGGGAAATTTTCAAAAAACTGGCATTTTAACCTATTTTATATAGGCAACGCGACAACTGTCCAATTTCAGAAAATGGCTCACTTCCTTGTACAAGGTTCTAAACTACTTGTTTTTGATGTTTTTTGGGGACATTTTGAGAACTAAAAGAGATAGAGTGATGCAGTTTGGAGTTACTTTTCAAAGCTGCCTAGATTGACAATGCCAATTTTGACGTATATGACTTGTCGGAGTTATTTGTGGGAGTATAAAAAAAGTACAAAGAATAAAAGTTATGTAAAAATACTCTTATAGTAAGGGGGTATTTTTATATTTTTCATAGCCTGCTTAGTTTTTAAGATACAGCAACAAAGATTGTTTTTTCAAATGGAATGTATAATATTTTTTGTACCAATCAGTTCTTTTAAATTATAATGAGAAAAATTCATAGCTGTCAGTATGTTTGATGCCTGGTTTGATGAAAGGAAAATTGAAATAAATAGGGAAAACCGTTATTCAGTCTTGAGAATGTGGATTAAATACATATAGGCCTTGGAATACAGGTTTGGAATTTCGATTCGGGACTCATTACCTTTTTTGAATAATCGATCAAAAGGAATCATTTAAATATATTTTCAAGATGGCCGCTTTTCTAGTTGTATCAGAACGGTACCGGAACTTTTTTATTTCAAATGGCACTATCTTTTCTGATGGCATTTTCGAATTCCTCGTAAAAAACCAGTAGAACATTGTCGATATGATGGTAGGTCCAACTGACATGGTTTCGAAGTTATTTGACATTTTTTCACGGTTTCAGAAGTTCAATAAATTAGCCACATCACTGTTGCCTGACAACTTAGCAAAATGTATTTTTCACGAATGTGTTCACCCCGAGGGTGTAACATCTTCCCGCAATACTGTCACAAATTGTCTGCAATTGCTTGCAATCCCTCTGATTGCTGTGGCAATCTCCCTCACAATCGCGTTTGCAATCTCACAATCGTCTAAAACAATGCCGCAATCAGATTCGCAATCCCGCAATCGCTGCAACAATCTGACAATCACGTTGGCAATCGTGCACGCCCCCCACCTGTTTTTACTTTTTAGGTACAATCACACGCCTCGCGGTGTTAGGCAAAAAAGTTATTGGACCTAACCTTATTTTTTTAAATGGAACGTCCTGTATTATTTAACAATCTAAAAATATAGCATAGTAACTTTTAAAAAATATAATACACTAAGAATGATATTCAAAAAGGGCTCAAAAAAGATTTAAAAAATGTCACGATTTGATAAATACAACAAAATTTCAAAAAATTGTTGGATCTTTCGGTTTTTTTAATCTTTTGAATCTATTTAAATCAATATGGAATTTTTGTAGTGTTATATTTTGGAAAAGAGATTTTTAATATGATAGTTTTTGATTCAAATATTTCAATTTGTAAGGAACGAACCTATATTTATTAAAGGAGATATAGAAAGATGTTTCTTACAAGATTCTTTATAATGACTGTTGAATAATCTGCCGTTTTAAAATATTGTACGGGATTAGGTAAAAAATTTATAGGACCTAACTTCATTTTTTTTTTAGTTGAACGCTCTGTATATTTTATTCGAAAAAGAACATATTAAATTCGCTTTTCAAAACTATAATACTCAAGAAATTCAAAAAATGCAATATTAGATTTTTCAAAAAATTAAAAAATTTTAGTGTTAGTTCTTTTTTTTATCATTTTGAATTTTTTTGAATGATTTGTATTTTCCCTATTTATTGCGATTACGTTATATACTAAAAAAGAAAATGCAACTTTTTAGTTTATAGAGGGTTTTCTATTTAAAAAATGAGGTAAAATCCAGGAACTTTTTTGTTGACATCGTATATGCACCTATTTTGAAAACGGACTACTTTGCAAGTAATTTTGTAAAGACATTTTTTCGTAACTCTTTTTATTCTGATATTGACAATTTTCAAATGGAAACCATATGTTTACTAGGCATCAATGGAAAGAGCATAAAAATCGGGCAAAAAATCTACTTGGAAAATTGGTTGGAAACTGTTGATTTCAACAGGATGGTGCACCTGCGCACAACGCCCGAATCGTGTAATAATACCTATCGAAGAAATTTCTTAGAAAATGAAAAATTTATCACAGCTACAGCATTATCTTTCTTTGGAAAATTTCGTTTATAGAATACTCTATATTCTGTGATTTTGCTTCGCACATGACGTCACACTAGATACGTAATAACATACCGTGGTAATATTGTGTCGTGGGAAATCGTAACTTTAACTTCCAAAGGCGACTCGACCGCTAAATAACTTCGAAACCGTGTCAGTTAGACATAGCATCATATTAACAAAGTAGTACTGATTTTTTATGAGGAATTATAGAATGCCATCAGAAAAGATAGTCCCATTTGAAATAAGAAAGTTCCGGTATCTTTCTGATACAACCGGAAAAGCAACCATCTTGAATATATTTTTAAATGATTACTTTTGATCGATTATTCAAAAAAGGTAATGGGTCCCGAATCGAAATTGTTCCTGAGATATTTCTAATGGTCCACTTAAAAACACCATCCTGTATATTATAGTTAATATTTCAGAAAATGCTCAAAATAACAGTATTTTAATAGGATTTGCTCATTTATCTTATTCAGTTCAAATTCTATAAATATAAAAGTTAGTCTCTGTAATCAATATAAATCAATTTAAAATGAGCAACCATAGACTGGTTTCAGTCAGATTTGAGATAAATGAGCAAATTCTATTAGATTCCTCTTATTTTAAGCATTTAATGAAATATGAACTATATATTTCACGGCCTTGTATTTAATTCACATTTTCAAGAATAAGGGTTTTCCCTATTTTTTAGGGTATTTTTCTCAAAGTGAAAAATCGCTATTGGCTGCACTTTGTCGCCCGTCCGTCCGTCACACGTACTCCTACACCACTCAACCGATTTGGGCGATATGGGGCTCATTTGAAAGGGTTTGGTCCAAGGATTCTGTGCATACCGATATTTTTTTGTTTTGCGCATGTGCAGTGTCAAAAATTTGGATTAACGCATGTGCAATGCTAACTTCTTTATTTACGAAGATATTTAAATAAAATTTTATATGTAAACACTACGAATATAAGTAAAATTAACGACATTTTCAAAATGTTGTTTTGCGCATGCGCAATGCCAACTTTCTTATTTATGAAGGTATTTAAATGAAATTTTATACATAGGCATTCGGCATAAAGACAAATCTAACACCAGTTGCAAAATTTGGTTTTGCGCATGCGCAATGCCAACTTCCTTATTTACTGAAAGCACTTAAATGAAATATCATATGTAGGCACCTTGAATGAAACTAAAACTAATACCGGTTTCAAAATTAGTGTTAACGCATGCTGTATGTTTTATTTATGAAGGTCTTCAATGAAATTTCTAATGTAGACAATGCGCAATGCTATTTACGAACTGCTTCATTTAAAAACGTTTCACCAAGAGAATGGAACAGCATTAACTAATTAGGAGGAAAATACGTTCTCGTCATTTATGCTTGCAAAATCTCAACGGTGTCTTGTAGAGCTTAAAAAGTGGCAATTAGCACCAACATTTGAATATATTGTGCAACTCAGAAATGCGAACCAATAAATTAAAGGTATCTCCTCCTTGATGAAACCAACGGAGCACGATGTGATAGGCCTGTTGGTTGCTGCCTACCTATTAGGCGATCATTACTTTTGTCAATGACCGTACATGAGAAATCAATATGTATGTGCCATTTATAGGAACTAAATCAAGCTACCCCTAATTACTGCTCTTAGTTAATGGTTGTAGAATTAAATTTATCATATCAAGCACTTACTAAATCAACAGCAAATAATGTAAAACAAATGCCCTAGAGCCTACTTATTTTATGATGATAAATTTATAAAGAAAAGTAAACGTAAACTTTACCTAAGTTTCTTGAATAAACCAACGCACAACTACATTATTATAATAATTCTGGTGCGTCAACAAAAACATCATCACCACCTTCTCTTTTTAGCTCCAGTAAGAATGCCTTATGAACTCTCCTTGTGCAATTTGAATAATTAAGATTCGCGGTAAAACATTTTTCCAGTGGCGTAGCTTGCGTTTCATAGAAATTTGTAATTTTAGTGTCTATTTGTCCATTTTAGCTTTGTTTTTAATTGCTTAATTTCTTTATTTGATTTTTTGCAGCCTTTTTTTATTCCAGATGAGCAAGACTTTTCAGTTTGTTGAAGTTGCTAATTTTTGAAATTTTCTGTTCAGTTTCGTTTTTTTTTTCTATTTGTGAAATCTTGAAATACAACTTATACTAATCCTCACTTTGACTTTTTTAAGCAGTCGGCAAAATGCGTCCGGTTATCACTTCTACTACAGGAGTAAAGTAGAAGAATTTTCGGTGGCTGTTCGGACGGCAGAAACTTTTAACTTTTAGTAAGAAGGCCTCACTGTACTACAACTGCTTCATATTTCAACTCAACGAAGTTTTTTCCGTAATTGGGCAACACGGGTTAAACTTCTCACACAACTTGGATGAACTTGCTTCAGCACACATGTATTATAAAAAATGAGGGACTACGTCTTCAACAAAACAAATAGGGCTGGTTGCCCGTAATTTAACGTAAAAAGGCGTGCACGCTCTTTCACCGTCGCGAAAACTAACAGCAGCCGCATCCTCGTTTTTTCGTTGTCTCTAGTATTTAAGGTAACACCTCTTCCACCATAAAATCTTTTTTATGAAATTTCCAATAAATTGCCAATCACAACGAACGCCAACAAGAAAAGCGCAATTCTTCGAAACATCTGCGTCTTCGTTATCTCTTAACAGCGATAAAACACGTGTGTTAATTTTCGCCTGATAAAACTCCTTATCGCAAACGAGTAGATAAAACTTTTTATAAAGTACCTACCCAAACTAGTTGTGTCTCATCACTTCTAACACCTTATCTAAATTGAACAATTACAAAGCGACAAAATTACGTACCTAACAAAATTTCTAAAAGGAATAACAAACACGGAAAAAACAAATTCAAGGAAAATAAACCAATGTTGTGTCTATTTCGTAAGTAATCCCCAGATTTACTTATTAAAGTGAAACATTCTCATATAGAGGGTGCCCGTCGTTGTTTTTGGTAAGATATATCTAATGTTCATAATGGGATAAAAATAAGGCATCTGAGCTCACACCTTAATTTCATTATCGTGAACGCCGCATTATCTACTCCAAAACACTGAAAATAAAAGCGTTCTTTAATCATCCCTTGTCTTTTATTTCAGTACTGAGCCTGCAAGAGCTTTGCTGTAGAGCGATCGTCGCGAGGACCACCGTTTACAGCATCGAACAACTACCTCTACCTCCGATCGTGAAATCTCATCTCAAATCGTACGCGCTCACCACGTCCAATACCCAACTGCGATACACACACAGCCAACGCAAAAGTACGAGCAGAAAGCTTCGTTTCATCAGTACCCCCACCTCGCCCGGAAGTAATAACAGAAGTTGTGTTCCTCGAAATTCCTGCACGATCTCATGATAACCCGGGATTGTGCGGTCGAGACCTAGTCATCTTAACGATTGATCTGCAATAAAATATATAAAACTATTTTTGTGCGTTAACGGAACAGGGTGATGACGATAGAGGGAGTAGTTTTATTTTCAAACAGATAGCGTAACTTATTTTGTGAATGGCAGTTTACAACTAACCGTCCTGTAATTTTTAAATGTCTACGATGTATGTTTTGTAATAACAACTTATATGTGTATATACGTATGTTATTGAACTAGTAGTAAACAAATCAAAAGCTTCTAATGGTTTACGCCTAAACGATTTTACATTGTGAGTACACTGTGTGATTATGTATTATGCTAGTCTGTCTGCCGTTTGGCATACCACGTAAACCAAAAAATATTTAATTATAAATGTTTCTGAGAAGGAGGCTTTGCGACTTTGGCCGATATCAAATGTGCTCATTGGTAATTTTTCATTGATCAAAATTTTATGGTGTGTGATCTTTACTACGAGACACCACATGCACAAAAATGCTTCATTGCAATTTATGCAATCTTTTTCAAAAAGTGGCTATGTTTTGAGAACAATGTGATACTCCATGTTTTAAATCAAACTTAAAAAGTCATTCTAATATCATGAGGTATACTTTGTTTTTCATTTTTCCCTTACAATATTCAACACACAATAATCAAACACTGTATATTTTTAAATGTTTTGAAAAGGAGAGAAATACAGAGCGCGCAAAATTTAATTTTACAGGGCCTTGCGATTGTTTTACAGGTGAATTATGGAGTCCATTGTACGCCACTTGTTTAGTTCTGCACTTGTCAGTGATTCAAAGTGGGAAGATAATGGAATGAATATCGCAATTATTACTAGCTTTTGATTAATATGTAATTAGTATAAAAATATAATTAAAAGATATGGTTGCACTTAATATTTTATAAAGCATCAAAGTATTACATGTGCAAGTCGAAGGGTCCTTATTTATGAAGTACTAAATAAAATTTGTGCGATCTATTGCTTTGCACATTATATTTTATTATGTCATCGTTAGTGATTACCATTATATTAGTTACATTAATGAACTTGTGTAAATAGTTCCGTTTTTTAACATTAATTACCTACCTACCTATATTTTTGATGTAATGTATTATTATATTTGTTGTAAAATTTTGTATTTATATTGTGTCATTTGCTAAAAAAAATGTGTTTGTTACTCTTTTTATTTCTTTTTTCTAAATTGATCGTATGGTGCAAAGATAATACACATCACGTGATTACATTTCTTTAGCACTTTTCTACCTACAAACACGGCAAAAGCTTCATTTGCAAAGGGTTCCAGTTGTGTGGCTTCAGGACTTTTCGGTTCCGTGTCCTGTTTCTTTTTGTTTTTAAGGGTTCCAACTTAAATAAATCACATTATTATTACAAAATGTACCTAAATGGTTATGAAATATAGGAAAAAATAATACATAAAACTTGGGTACATATTCTATTGCATAAACATATTTTTTAGGTCTTTTTCATCCTTCCTTTCAGCAGTAGTTTTAACTATTGCTTTCTTCGCACCCTCTTTACTGCTTTTGATACATTTTCACTATCAGTCGCTCTAAAATATTTTATATTTGTTTGGTATTAAGGTTAAGTTGGCAGAAATTAATGTGGTAGCTCCGAACAAAAGTGAGATTTCTGTCTTTTGAAATTTACACTTTACAACTGTGAACATAAATTCACAAGGTCAGATTTTATTCTGTGCCACCAAGTCTGATAAAAGATTAGTGTCTTTAATGGAAGTAGGTATGATATCATGACTAGAAGCTTTTCGTTTGCTAGATAAGGAAATTGAATTGTGTTTAATAGAAGTTCCAACATCGATACCGAAGTGATAAATAGTGAAATTCGCGCTCCGTGTTATAAATTTGAGTGCAAGTACAAGTAAACCTGATAAATAATAATAACTGGTATAAATGATGGTTGGTGATGATGTTAGTTACCTATCCAAAGGCATACTTGTAGCTGACTTTGAAACCGCTCGTCCAATTTGTGAACGAGGGGTCAGGGGTAATCTACCGCCGTCACTGTTAGATGGGCGGTTGTACCTCCCACTCTCTTCTTAGAACCTGCTATTCGTACCTATAGCACAGGTGCCTATAGGCAATGCTATAGGTAGTACCATTTTTTATTCATTTAATAAAGGTTTTCTTTGTACACGTATTTCAGTATGCGTTCTATGGTTGATCTATGGGTTGGTCGGAGCAAATTGCACCTTCTCATATAAAGAACTATTATCGGCCACATAACTTCTAGATACTCTTTGCTTCTAGCTTTGTTAGTTGTTTTTACTTATTTACGTACTATATTACGCACTCTTATCGCAGAGGTGGAATGTTAAATCGTAATTTGCAGTTCAATAATTTTCTTGGGGCCATGCGTGTACTTATAAGGGGTGTCAATGTTAAAACGTGCAGTCGGCCATATCATTATATATATTGCCATATTTTCCAAACTAAAGAAGGGGAGGGGCTGGGAGGTTAAGGGGGTTGTCACTCATAACGTCATTCTGGTTCACCCTCGAAACGGTTTTGCGCGATTTTCAATATCTTCTTTAGTTTGGAAAATATGGCCGACTGCAAGTTTAAAAATTGATACCCCGTATACAGGGTGGACATTTTGTCTAGAACACTGATTAAGTGATTAGTGATTATATATTCAAAACTACAATTTCTGCAGGCGTGCCTTTGCATGGTCAAGGGGCCAGGCCCAAGAGGGTATATTTTTTGTAATTAATTGCGCCATTTTATTCCGAATTTAACGCATTTAATATTTGCGTACCTATCTGTCACGGTTTTTTTTGCAGTATAAAACTTTATTTAAACGAAATATTTAGAATTGTGTAACAAAGAAGAAAACAATAATTAACTACCTATAACAAAAAAATTTCGTCAAACTGTTTTTCAGTTGGGAGTGTGCCCAGGATACATGCACCATTTTCACGTTGGATGGCCAAGGATATCTTCTGAAATAAAAATTGCTTAGCGCGTTTGTCACCGGATTCCGCAATTAAGCTTTTGCCTATTTTATTCAGAAAATCTCGTGATTCTTTGCACCATGGTCCAAGTGTCTCGAAGGCAACGCACGTCAATTTTTTTCTTAAACATTTAGAGATGCAAGGGTCCATTCCAAAATGCATAATTATCTCTTAAACCGTTCGAGGTACGTGAGTGCTCTTTTATATAATCGCAAAAAAATTGGTTTATTTTTGGGCTTATTATGGGTCCAATTGGTAGCTAAGTGAACGGACCGTTTCGATCTTCCTGCACAGACATATTTAAGGTTCTCCAAAAAAGTGTAGTATACAGGCTGATTCAAATTCGAGAGCCACCATGGGGATCTCGAGTGTAAGTGTAAGAGATAGGCGAGTAGTTTAAATTGGGCAAAGTTGCGTATTTTGATGCTTAACAAAATACAGTTTTGAAACTGAAAAAATTCCGACTATTTTCGGAGATATTCGGAAAAAACGAATGTTTGCAAAATCGTTTTTATTTTTTACATTTCGAAATAAATGACACATTATTATGGCCACCTTTTTTCGTCTACAAGATGCTACTTTTAAATTTTAAGTTTGACGTTTCGTCTCCAGTTAACCGTCATCAATTTGTTTTTTTCTTATGGAAGTCATTTTTACTTTTTGTGTCATTTGATAGAGAATTTTTTGCTAATTTCAAAAATGTAAACATCACAATTTTTTTAATAACGTTATATCTTCTTTTTTGCCTAGAAAACTTTGTTTTGGGTAAGTAGTGTACGTACCGGGTGACCCAATAAGACTGTTCCTCGGTTATGAAGAATCGCTGGAAAATATCTTCAAGTTCTAAAAATGACCACCAGAGGGCGTAACTGCCATCTTAAATTTTAAAATTGCATATTTTCTTTCAATTTCGCATAGTAAACTAAACATTCTTTTTTCACATTTTTAAAGAGAACCAGTTTATCTATCATTTTCGTTAAAACAAAAACTCAGTTATTTCAAAAACAAAGATGGTGTGGAGCGTTCAATTGTTTTTGCAATAACCTGTATAACTTCTTAACCGTTTGACCGATTGTAACAAATTTGGTATCGTTGAAAAGAGCATTCCTGGGGCAATAATATAATTAATTTAGTTGAATCCTTCTCCGCCAGGGGGCTAGTTTTGACACTATTATCCAAAATCCTTAAAAAAATCAAATGGAATGACTTTTTCTTTATGAAAAAGTAGCCAAATAACATCCAAAGAGGCCAGTGAAAACCGTTTTTCAAAATCTCGTTCCGAACCTCAAATATTGGAAAAATGAGATTAATTAATAAATTAATAAAAATGCTTAAATTAATTGTATCTTAAATTTACTTTTGACGTATTTCCGGTATTTGTCGATGGCGCGATAGATTGTTTGGTAAAGCACCCTACACTTTTAGGTAGGCCTTGAAAAAGTAAACAAACGAAACACATGCATTATAAAATAATAACATCGGTAATTTGTAAAGTATTCTGCTGTGTTTACATTCAGAAAGTGTAGTTTTTTGAATTTGTAATCTTTTCTAAAATGTCGATTTCTAACCAAGAAGCTCGAGCTGAAATCTAATACTTTTTTCCCTTGTATAATAACTACCTATATAATTATAATTTCCTTAATATCTTCGATTTCTCACAACAAACAATAATAAATTACAACTGGGCACAATAATAGACGCGAAATTTTACAATTTACAAAAAATTTATTATAAGATAATTAGGGGAGAAAATATTTAATATGAAGAAATTACCATCGAAATCCCTATGGTGTACTAAGCAATTCTACACTCTATATACGAAACGAAGTACAGTCGATAATAGAATTTATAGAGAACAAACAGCTAAGTTGGTGGGACCACCTGTAAAGAAACAAGTTAAACAGATATGGGAAGAGAAAATTCAATACAAGAGACAGACATTAAATAAAAGGGAGAAAGGTCTGAACTGAAGCCAGAGACCTGCCAAAAATAAGACAGGAGTGGAGAAGATTTCTATATATGAATATGGAAAAAAATTTGCACATGCGCAATCCAACTTTTGTATTTGCACAATCCAATTTTTGGCTTCCCGGCTTGAGCTAGGTGGCTTTGCGATCACTGTTTTTTGGATAAGTCAAAATTCCATAGAATGTCGACGTTTTAAGCATCTTTTATATGCTTTTTCCGTCTGTATGTGTGTACGTTGGCTCGACGAATTTTGTTCAAATTTTGTACCTAATGCCTACAGAATCGAAAAATAACACGCAGTGAAAAAAATGTTGAAGCGACAAAATTTGAAAATTGAAATATTTTTTTCGCCAAAACGGTTATTTTGATTTCGTAACAATTTTGGCACTTGTATATTAGGCATAAAGAATGTAACGGCCGGTTGCAGGAAAGCGAATTATAATCAAAATCCTACGTTATTTGCCAAATCTGAGTTTAAACAAGAATTTTGACATTTGATTGGCTGCCTACTGCAATATAAAGCCAATCAAATGTCTTAATACCGGATTAAACAATAATCCTGGATTATATTTTTGTGCAACTGGCCGTTACTGTCAAAATTTTTTTTTAAATATCTGGTTTGAGCTAGGAAACTGTTCATTCTAGTTTTATTCACTACACTGACAATATCAGAATAAAAGAAACAATATATAAAATTTATTCACATGGAATAATTTTATCAAAATTTTCACAGTATACCGACTAACTTCACACCAGTGAAATAAATAAATAGTTTGAAATATGTATAAACATTGTAAACAAATTTGTAGCATCCATAAGAAGTACCTATAGCGAAATAACAAAAGAAACATAATTAACTTGCAGACACTTCTCGTGGTGGCGATAATGGTTCATTGTTCAATTGGGGTCCATCAACACATTTCCACAACCCGTACGTCTTACCTACAGTTGTCTGCCACAATCTTAAAGTGCCGTCTTCGGATCCGGACGCATACAGTTCTCCATCAGGTGAAAATCTTACACAGTGTACAGGCCCAAAATGGCCTTTGAAAGATTCTGAAAAATGTTCATTACTTCCACAGAAGGTAAATAGGGATTTACCAATTTCCGTTCCAGTTGTATAATCGAATTTATACATTTTGAAATCGTCACCACCGGCCACGAAAATGCATTTATCTGGATGAAGAGATGCCGAGTTTGCTGTCGTCGGCAATGGAAATTCTCGAATTTTGCTTAATGAACCTGAATCTAGAAACGTGATGTTGTTGCTATGGGTTACCGTGATGACGCTGCCATCCCTTGACACTTCCAAACTGTTTGGAACTGCAGAAAATTCCAATTTTTGAACTTCCTAAAAAAACCATTACAGTAGAACACAGGCAAAAGCGATAAAAACTACTTTTCCAGAAACTCTGTCCCAAACTCTCAGGGATTTATCATCTGCGCACGATATCAAGTGAGAATCGTCTCGGAAAAACAACGCATGTCGTACACCGGCAGTGTGTCCTGAAAATACTGTCGGGCCTAAAATAAAAAGGGATAACCTTCACTAAAAACCAGTCGGTGTAATTGATCAATTACCGACATAAATTCAATGACTTTTTATGAATAAGTTAATAACTTACTGGCATCTGGCTTATTTAAATCGAAAATTCTGACCAGCTTTTCGTTACTTCCGGTTGCCAGAAAGTTGCTATCTTTGGAAAAATTGACACTTTTAACAATATGATTGTGTTGGAACGAATGCAATTCTTCGCCGGTCACTGCATCCCAAACCTTTCCCGTAAAATCGGCGGCTCCGCTCGCCGCCTTCGTAGCTTGAGCGTTTAGGGCAACTCCCCATACGGCGCCTTTGTGGCCTTCGAAAGTTCCTATCCAGTCTCCAGTATCACCTTGTCTTAGCATGGGTTTACCGTCTGCAATATCAATGCCACATGAGAGGAATAATGAAAAGTTGACTTGAACAGGAAATAAAGTGGAAGAGCGTTGTCCTTTCCTGAATTTAATTAACGTGAGGACAAACGCATGAAGGTTTTATTGGAAAATCAGGCCAAGGAAAACAGTTCAACGTTTAAGGTTAGTTTAAGAGAAAAAAAATTCGTTACCTTTACAAGCCGATATTAAAAAATATCCGCACTCCGTTACGGCACTAAAATCGAGATGGACGACGGGACGAGTGTGGCCACTGCATGTTAGAGGAGTTTGTCTCAAATTTGCCATTTTTAGGTCAATAAAAATTAAAAACTAACCAACCATACGAGTTCGAAACACGAACTGTTTGTGTTGTGTTGTGCTTGTGTTTAGCAGATAGTTGACATGTGCATTACGCATGCGTACGCCTCAAATATTAGTTGCGTTCAACCAACAAAAATAGTAAGGTACATTCTATCTACATCAGGTAGGCTACTGTGTATACGACCGTGGCTACGTGTGAGCTGAGAGGCGATGCAGTGTGTTTGAAATTCTTCCAGGGACGAGGCATCATTCTTTAAGTTAAAATTTGAAAATTATCCAATCAAATTCGTCAATTCTCTCAGTTCAATTATGTACTAGGCCAGTAAATGAACGTGGAATACGGTGATACTGTGTAATTTTCCGCGTCTCCACCGAATCGCATGAAAATTTGGATTTAGGTTCTACTTCCCTTCCAATTCAAAGTTGAACTTAAGCCTAAGGAAACAACTACCCCTATTAGAAAAAAATCGTATAATTGTAAATTAAAGCGGGTAATTGATTCAAATCATCTTTTAAATGTGTGAATAAATATCAATTAACATTAAACAATATATCTTACCTCTAAAATAGTTATAATTAAAACAATGTCATAGAATACTTTAACTCCGCTGATTTGGAAACTACCCGTATTAATCATATAATTGTAAATTCAAGCAATTTGGGATTATTTAATTATACAGTAACATTAAATTTATATTTGCTGTTTTTATTTTTTACCACATAATTTCTACCCTTATAAAAACCAGCCCTTGCGAAAAAATTCGAATAGTTGTAGTAATTTTTTTTCTTCATTGATACTATATACAGGGTAGTGACTTGCCTAACGCATCATAGGGATGTCAATGTAAAATTCATAACATGCGATTATTGGCTCCCTAAATTATTTTAAAGCAAAAATGTATTAAGGTTTTTTGTAGACAAAAATTTTTTACGTCCATCAGCCGTATTAGTTTTCAATTTTTTGCATAATAAATACGGAAAATTGGAAAAATAAAACCCGCATGTTTTTCAATAATCTGTGATGCCATGGAATTTTATAGTACCAAAACTACGCCAATATCCGTCATGCCATGGAATGTCTGCTATAAAACAAATCAAATTCTATCAAAAAGTATTATATTTAGAACAGCCAATTCAACATAAAGAAAGACCAAATTACTAAAAACGGTTTCCTAATATAACAATTTACAAATAAATGTTCGAATAAGTCACCATTAACTGCAAGACAGTAACCAAGTCGATCATAAAATCCATTACGAACTGCTGCTAATTGATAATTGGATATCTTTTTGTTTTAGAAAATTCCATGGCATCGCAGATTATTGAAAAAGATGTGGGTTTTATTTTTCCAATTTTCCGTCTTTATATGAAAAAAATTGAAAACTAATACGGTTGAATGGCGTAAAAAAACTTTAATACATTTTTGATATAAAATAATTTGGGGAGCCAATAATCGCATGTTATGAATTTTACATTGAAATCTCTATGATGCGATACGCCAGTCACCACTCTGTATACAGTAATTTTTTTAATTAAAATTTTACGAATTTATTTTATTTCAATTAAAAAAACAACCTTTATTGTTTGAAATATACGTCCTAGATCTCTAGATTTTCAATAATAAATAGAAAAAAATAAAATTTATTTTTATGTGAATGTTAATTATTTATTTATAATACAATAATGCTTTGAATTGTAAAAAGTATTGAAAAATAATTAAATTTCTTTTTCAGTGTCGTCTTTCTCTTCACCTCCACTTCTTTCCACACGAACCTCATCCTCGTTCGCATCTTCGGTCTCATCTTCACCTTCTTCGTTGTCCATTATTGGAGCACTATTGCCTTAATAGCACATTATGTTATGTGTATCTTACAATGCTCCAATAAACACGCGTTTTGATGTAGGTATTAAATATATGATTGGTTTTTTACTTATGAATCGGTTAATTTTTAAGCTACGAAGTGCTTTAAAAAACTATTTTGTAGGTTTTTTTAAAAGCTATAAGATTATTCAGATTAATTTTTTTAAACCCGTATTTTTGAATGGGTTGTAGTTGAAAGGGCTCGAATGAGTCACGAATAACGAGTGTATGCAAACTTTGAACAGCCATATCTTAACCAATTTTTGTTTTACAGAAAAACAAAAAAAAACAAAATGTTCAGAAAAGTAAAAGCTATATTTTTTTATTCTTGTAAATTTTTCATAGCATACTTTTGAAGTTATTCTGAAAAAAAGGCAATTTTTCAAAATTTCAAATTTTTTTTACTTCAAAACTGCATTTTTTTCAAGGTATATTTTTGCTAAGAATACTTTTTTCGATACAATACTTACTTTTAGAGTTATTTGCGAAAAACTGTTTCAAAACGTGTTTTTTTGTTGAAAAATGAACATTTTCACTCGCAAATAACTCGAATACTACTTAGTGAAAAAACTTTATACTTTATAGAACAAAAGTTGCTTAGAATTACTCAATTTATCAATTTTTCTTATTTTGAACGTATCCCCCCCCCCCAAAGTAAAAGCAACCCTGGGCTCAAGTTCACCTTTGAAGTAGAGGATAAGAGGAACCTAAATCCAAATTTTCAAGCAAATCCGTCGAGGCGCGAAAAATTACACGCCAAAACGGTCATTTACTGGCCTACTTTTCTGAGAAGTATTTCATACTGTGACTTTTGAGGGCCGAAAGTTGCGGGGAAGGTGGTATCACCGGGGGTCTAGAATACCCCCCAGCATACCCCTTTTTGCCTTTGGGGGCGGGGCGATATTCTATATCCTCCAGTGTTACGTTCTCTTCCAAAATATGTTTTTGTTTCAATAATAACGGGCGATCAAAATTGAGTTGCTGTCGAGTCACCTTTGGAATTTTTGTTTACATGGGAAATCGTATCCAAAGCCGTCTTGACAGCAATTCATTTTTGATTGCCCGTTATATATCAATAGGTTTCTATTCCCGAGCGTTCTTAGGCAAATTTCAACTTAATTAATCATTTTTGGCTACGTTGCAATATCAGGAGTACATCAAATGCGAAATTTTTGTACCTACGCCTGATACGTTCAATTAACTCGGGAAGCTTTGATTCAAGAGGAGATAAAACAGTCATTAAGTAAATTTAGATTTCATTTGACGTTTTTGGCTAAATGCAAATTTCTGTACTCCTGATACGTAAAATGGTTTGTGGAAACGTTTGTTTCAAGAAGATAAGCCAAAAGGTTTCTATTCCCGGGCGCGCTTAGGCAAATTTAAATGTAATCAATCAGTCTTCGCTACGTTGCAATATCAGGAGTACATCAAACGCAACATTACTGTTCGCCTAATACGTTCTCCAATTACTAGAAGCTTTTATTCAAGAAGATTCCAATTCCTAGCCTTCCTAAACAAATTTAAATCTAATAAAACCTTTTTGCCTTCATTGCCGGTATCAGGAGTATATTAAACACAAAAGTTCTGCACGCCTGATACTGTAATCGATTATTGTAAGCTTTGATTCATGAAGGTAAACCAATGGATTTCAAATATTTAGCGCCCAAAAGCAAACTTAATTTAATCAAACGTTTCTGGTTACGTTACTGGTATCAGGAGTAGATCAATCGAAAAATTTCTGTACGCCTGATATGTTCGACGGTTACTGGAAGATTTAGTTAAAAAAGATATACCAATAGTCGGTTCCCGAGAATAATGCAATGCAAAGTTACACCGAATTTAATGGTTTCTGGCTACGCTGTGGGACAAAGTATTACATCAATTGCAAAATTCCTGCACGCCTGATACATTCATCTTTTACTGTGAGCTATTTGATTGGTGGAGATAAGCCAATTGACTTCATATTTCTTGGCGTCCAGAAGCAAATTTAAGCGGTATTTATACGTGCATGTGTATTACTCTTTCAAATTTTATGGGTTTTTGGATTTGATCTCTTATATTCAATTTGAAAATGTAGGGAGGATAATAAGCATATGCAATCTCTAGCATAGAGTAAAAGTTTTAAGAATTATTTTTTCATAAATTTATCTCTTCTCAACCGCTTTTTAATACAGAGCGTTGGAAAGTACACATTTTTATTAGAACTTAATATAGGTAATTAGTAATTACTTACTAAGAAATTACTATATAATCACCCTCCATTTTCCACTCCAAAAATATGGGGGTATAGCTCAGTGGTAGAGCATTCGACTGCAGATCGAGAGGTCCCCGGTTCAAACCCGGGTGCCCCCTCACCTTTTTTTTATAGGGCGCTGGACGTAGAAATTACCAAGCATGTACTTTGCAACTCAATTTAATAAAAAATAATATGAAATGTACATAATATCGTATTGTTGGTCCTCAACCAATTTTAAAGGTATAATAATAACAAATACAAAAATATAACAATTTCATCCAAATAAAAGCCTTAAGCGACAACAAGTTCAGTATTAGAATCCTTGGTAACCAATTGCAATAAACTGCCATTGGCAGGACGCGCCTGGTTACTGCTCCATTTCCAAAACAGTTCGGCCAGAAATTCCAGAGAGGTCCACGTAGTGAAATCCGCATTTGGCATCCACTTTCGATTCATTGGGGTATCCAAAGTAATAGGTAAAATTGCGACACAAGTTGCACCGGTGGGAAGCCCGCTGTCTTTACCGGCTAGGCTTTTTGTTAAATGGTGTACAGCCGCTTTGGCCATGCCATAACCGATCATACCTGGAGTTTCTTGAAGTGCTGCACTAGCACCTGTCAACGTTAACAAACCGCCCTCCTTCAAGTGCGAGGCCGCAACACTCGCTGATACAACTGAGCTCCACACACTTTGCCGCCACATAAGATCTGCACTTTTTGCAAGGCCCTTTTTAGCATTGCCACCGGCCCACCCACCTGCCACACAAATTATGGCGTCGAGCTTCGATGACCCTAGAGCCGAAGAGACAGATGTTAGTACGGATTCTTCCTGTTCTGGTAGGCTGTCGGTGCTGGTAACCACAATGTTGTGATCGGCTTCGTCGTTTAATCCCAAATCAATCGATGCTACCCACCAATTTTGTTGTTTGAAATGGGACACGCACGTTGCTCCTAGCGCTCCTCTGCCACCGTAGATTAGCACTTTGGGAGAAGACATGCTGAACGTTTGACAGTGGCCACGAAAGTGACAGGAAGTGAAAGGTAAAACCACGAGCTGGAAGAACAAGATTAGACGCAGCAGGAAGGAGGTTGGGCTGGGTTAGGGGTTTTCGATTTTCCACCTTCGTCACCATCAGCAGCGTTAACCGCAAGTGCTGGCATCGCGCACGGTTCGTAGTTTTCGCGATTATCGGACGGGGGTCACCTTTTTTATTGTAATCTAATCATAAGCCGCCGTTTAAAAATAGCAAGAAACCTTTTGATAAAAGCGCGAAGCTCGCTGAAGTTGGCGGCCTTTTTTTAAATAAAATAAATAAAAAAATCTCCCACAGATGTCGCGTAAATAAAAAGCCTGTCGCCTTTCGGCTGCCGCCATTTTCCTTTCTTCGTAAAACGTTTTTTAAGTAGAACTAGACGTAGTTTCGGGTTTGACTTAAAAAATATGCCAGTAAAAGTCGACATAATTCCTCCACCACCAGCAAACTCCAAACAGCCGGGAGTGACAAAATCCTTATTGTATAATGGGTCGCGATTTCAAGGTTTTCAAAAATCCAAAGGCAATTCCTACGAAGTAGAAGTCGTCTTGCAGGTTAGACTTTCTCCTTTTTTTTCGCTTTGTTTTTTTTTTGGATCGTTACGTAAACGGTTAAATTTAGAAATGTTTGCACAAAAATGGCGGGATCTATAACTTCGGTTCTTTGCAGCATGTCGACGAAGAGAACTCCTACCTGTGCGGGTACCTGCAAATAAACGGACTGACCGACGAGTATCCGACGTTAACGACGTTCTTCGATGGCGAAATAATCAGCTCGAAGTATCCCTTCCTCACCAGAAAGTGGGACGCGGACGA